AATGATTTTCTGGGTAGGGCATCCACAAGTTCATTTCATGATCTCCAGCCTCTTGCAATTGCCTTTGACAATAATGTTTTGAGATGTGCGCCGGAAATGAGTAATCAAGATTATGAGATATTAGCAAAAATAGATTTTCGATTTCGGTTTACGAGCATTGATTGATGAGGTGAGACAGCAGCCAGAAATCTTGGAACATGACGAGCGATCGAATATTTCCCCGTTGAATTGATGTTCGCTGGAAATTCAATAACTCCTTCTGTATAAGTCAGTCAAATCATTTTTGGAATGCAATTAAGTGGTAAATTATGAAGCATTTCGAGCAGGTGAAATGCTAGACACCATAAGCTCGAGATTTATGAAGCTTTGGTAGCTATGGTAACTGCAACTTGTCACACACATGCCTTGCATTATTGGGAAGGAAAAATCTGGGAGTATCGCTTACCCATATCGGTTTTCCACAACAACAGAACCAGCAGTACCGAACTGGGCCGCAAAATGAACTTAATCAAGTAATGACCGGGTTGATGAGGAGCGGCCACATTTCTTATGCCGTCCGTTCCTCGACGGTAACATGAGTAATACAACAGATACAGATCAGTAGCTAGACAATAAAACCAAAGCCCAGACATGGCTTGGCCCATTGCCATTAAAACCGAGTCTCCGCCGAGTTCGAGTCCCAGTCGAAGTCCAAGCCCTTCTAATTGGCGCGTCCAGTAAAAAAAAGAAGAGAAAAATGCCCGACTCTCAAAGTGGGGCATAAAACTCAACATTTTATGTAATGTGTTCATTAGAGTCGATAGCTATTCTCATCTTCCTCGACTGAATAATTGATCCAATAACACAGCGTGCCGTTGATTTTTTACAATCCAGCGATAAAGTTTACTATCGCTGATCGATATTATCGCCAAATAGTTATTAATTGAGGCGTCTGCTCCAGAATTTCCATGAGGTTTTCCCTTGTCTTTTGCCTTTTTTTATTGCCCATGCGAATTACCTTAATTCCTTAATTTGCATATTAAAAATCGGAATTTTTATAGATCTACACCAAAACGTTTTTCTGGTATTTTGTCCATTGGCGGAGATACCCAGACCAAAAAAAAAAACAGGGAGAAATTAACGATCTATTCGTATTGAAACCCTTTGAACAAGGTCCATAAAAAATGTTGGAACCATCAAAATGGTAAACGCTACACAATGGAGTTTTGGAAAGGCATTTCGGCCATTTGACGAGGTCTTTATGTGTAATCTTGGGGTATCTGAAGGGTATATTGAAATTCGTAATATAACTTCTTAGGATCTTACAGTTTTTAGTCAACATCTCTTTTAGAAATGTATAAAAACTACTTTAAAAAAATAAATAAAATATTATCAATAGATTTTTTTAAATACCAAAAACTTCAACAAGTTTAACCTATACCACTTAATAATAATATTCCAGGGTAGCATGAATACCTTATTGTCAAACATAAAATTCCAATCCTCCCGCATTTCTTATCCAAATTAGTATAGAAATAGATGTCAGTTTTATTGCGGTTTTAGGTGTAAATGGCAATTAGTGTGATAAGAGTGGACCAACCTGGAAAACCAGGAGGGACGTGGAGGGAAGTTTACATGGCTGTCGTCTAGGGCAACATTGTCACTAGACTTTAGGCCTGTCTTCCTGGCCTGACAGTTCGACATAAATGCCACACGCACGATCCCAGCCAATCCCAATTGCCCGCTGTGGTAAGAACAGGTCCGGTTTTTGGTCCTGTCCTCTTCCAGTACTCTTAGCCATAAAATCACAGAGCGATGCGCTTACAGTTGCTATCATTATTATTATTATTACTATTATTGAATGCTGTTCGATGCTGGCGCATGGCATAAACTAACCAAGTCAACGACTGATCATTAAGCCGCAAACAAAATGTTTGTCCGTTCGCATTTTCCAATTGAATTCCCTCTTATAATCTGGGATAACATTCCGTAAGCCGCTCTTAAGATCCAACCGCATAAATACGTGTTTTATATAACGCAAATTGCGCGCATAAATCAAAACCAACAAGTGGCGGGAGGATAAAGACATTTAGAAGGAGTACGAGAGGAAGTTGTGCCAACAAAGTTCCGAACCAAATGGCCGCAGATTCAACGTGATTGATAAAACGTGTACTTCTGCAGCAGCGAGTTTAAGATACTTTGGTTTACAGGTTACTTTTAAGACAAAGTGCAGGTTGACTGACCAGAAAGGAACTTTTGGAGAGGTCAAAGTACCGAGAGTCCTGGCAGTGAATATTTCACAAATGCAAATCAATCTTGAAGCTGTTTGTAACACTTAAGAGTATGAATTCTTTCCTTTGAATATTAATAAGCCCTGTTCTTCACACTATAAGATTTTTATAAAAATATGAAATATTCGAAAAATTTGTATTAGCTGAAAAAGGTTAGCTACAAAACAAACAACTTAAAAAGATAATAAGATATTTATTATATTTTTTTGAAGTAGCTCAATAAACCAATAATTTCTAAATATTGATCAATAATACTAGGTATCTAATAATAAATTGTTGATAAATATTAAAACATTTTAACTAGACTTTTTTTAAAACTAACATTTTTAGAAAATAAATTAAAACTACATCAAGTACATCTTATGGATGAGTAACAATCAATTAAAATCTTGGATACCCAAAAAAAGTATCTTTTCAGAATACAATGAAGCAAACTAAGATGAGGCATCTTTTTTTTCTGATATAAAGCAGAACGATAAGTGCCATTTAACGCAGTTCAGGCCACCAATTGAATTCCCCGGACATCAAAGACCTCCCAGAGCTTTCTGCCGACTGCCAAGGAACCCTCTCATATTAACCGACACATCGGCCGACAGTAGCTCAATCTCCAGGCCGAGATGAATGCAGGTGGTAGCCCTGGGGGCCGTCAAATTACCTTCCTTGGTAGAGAGAGAGAGCGATCCAGCGATGGCCCAGCTAATAAAGCCGTAAAATTAAACGCCAACAGGCCTGCAAAATGGCAAGTCGTCGGGCCAAGAGGCAGTGATAAACGCCCAGAGATGTTTGGAATTGTTTATTCGCGTGCAAATAATTGCAGCTCACCTGGTTAGTTGGGTATCGGATTGGCTGCGCATTGTAATCAGTTGGCCAGGCCTTAATAACGAGCTTCCCGTGTTGAGCGATTTGGTTGCGGGGCGTTGAGGGCGTCAATTGGCCAAACTAATGAGCCGCTAATGAGAAAGCATCGCAGCAGGTCGCGTCGATCAAATGGAGATACATGTACATTGTACCCACCTGATACTGTGCAAATCCATTCACAGATCTTAGATATGAGGAAATCTAGTTCGCGGGGCGTTTACATATGAACAAAAATAATTAAAATATTTACCCAAAATGCCAGATGCTAAAGCACCACAAGCCAAACCGAATTTCCGAGTCATTTAAACGGGTTGCGGGGCAAAACCAAATGTAAACGCCCCAAATGCGGGCAGGCACAAATTGTATCTATGTATCCATGTGTATCTTGCAGTTGTATCTGGCTTTTAGGCCCACCCGACAAGGCCATAAACGTTATTTTTTTCCTCCGTTCCAGACGGCCCAAAGCCAGTAAATGAACAGAGAAATAAAATGTTAAGCACTTGTTGATTGGGTTAGGGAGAGTCTTCGGATAGAAACGTCTTGTCTGGTTCCGCTGATTGAAAAATGTGGAAAATGTACAAGTTTTAATATCCAAATGATCAATTTATTAATATTGAAAATGCGTCTAATGAACACATTAAAATATTTATTTATTATAAGTACCAAACTCAATTGAAAGTTTTATTTAAACTTTATGATACCAAGAAATTTGTTAGAAACAAATTGTTATACATTGATTTTGCATTTTATTAAGTTTATTTTTATTAAAGACTTTTATGGTAAAATTAAAGGCAACTTATTTAAAAAGTCTATTTTTATTACATTAGCTAAGTGCAACTGTCTTCAAACTTTTTCATTGGTTTAATTATACATTAATTATAATGAGTATAGAACTGGTCAGAGTATAGAATTAGATCAGAATACAATGGTACTAACTTTCCAAATTACTCCGTGAATATTTAAAAAAAATTTTGATATCTTCGTAACGGACAACTTGGTAGCCTGGATGTTTCTGCCTTTCGCAAATCTAATCACATCCACATCTGGGGTGGAGTTTATTTCTTATTCGCCTCTTCGAATGAGTCTGAACTGTCAGAAATAGCGAGAATTGCAACGGTTGTCGACAACAGCAATAAACGGCAATGGAAACACAGAAACATTTATTTAATTAACTTGCATCAAAAGTTGTTGAAGTATATTCATAAAACATTTCAATTTTCATATTTTCCAGCAGCCCAACGCATGCTGCACACACACAATTTTAACGACTTATTCGTTTTCCCATTCGCTTCCATTGTGAAACTTGTTTTTATAGCAAGTCTAGAGTCTATCGCTTAATTGATGCCACAGCAAAATGTTTTGGAAACAAAAGCCGAGATATGAGCAGGCAAGTGTCATAAATAAGATCCCAAACAACTCGTCGGCTCATTAGTGGAGAGTTTTGGAAAATCGGAGGAGAGCTTCAAGAAGCGCCGCCAGAGATGCGATTGGAAAAGTCCAACTGGATCGCTCCGAGTGTCCCCGTCGATCAGGTCGGGCCCCATGCCTGGGTCCATAAAACAAAATCAGTTTGAAATAAAAACATATCCATGCCTCGTTAGCATCCGATCTCAGCAGGGTGGTAGCAATGCCACAAGTGTTACATCGAAAGTGGTGCATGAGGAGATTTTCACCAAATTGTTGCGGGAAAATGGTTCAGATAAATGGATATAAATTGTGGGATGGAAAACGGTTCGATTTAACCCAATAATCATTATTGGTTGCGATAGAAATGTATGTAGCATATGATCAGAAAACAGTAGTTCTGAATACAAAATACTAATAGATACTATTTTTTGTTCTTAAATGTTGATATTCACAGCAGGCAAAGACTTTTCCTTATCTACACAAAACACTTGGAAAATTTTTCAACTAAAACATAAATTTCTCAACTTTAAGAAAACAAAATGCCTCCACTTACCAAGGAGGATAAAAGTAGGAAGTTCATGGTGGGAAGCAGTGACTCAGAGACGGAAAATGAGGATCTAGCCCTTGTACACTTGGTTCTCAGGAAGCTGAGTATCAAGGATCAAACTCTGCTCCATCGTCATTTTAAAAATGTGCCCGAAGCATTCAATATCCTTTGGCGGGATCAGCATCAACGTTTGGATTTGGGACAAATGCAGTGGAAACTGCACGGATCTGACCTTCATTTATTTCTGCAGGACATGCGTACTGAGTTTCGGAGCATCCATTTTCGCAGTGAACAGCTGCAGGAGGAGTTGAACATTCTGGAGCAGGCGGGTATTGAACGACTGGTCCATGTGGACACCTGTGAGATTTCCTGGGGTAATTCGATGATCAAAAATATTAATTTTCCACAATGGCCATTTCACGCCTTGCCAAAACTTTTAAGCAACCTGACTCATCTTGAGATATATGCTCCTGTGCAGGCTTGCTTTATAGAACAATTTCGAAAATTGGAATCCTTGAAGATCAATCAAGAGATTTCTAGTTCAGCTTTGGAGGCAATTCTGCGCAATGAGGCGCCATTGATGCAATTGCATTTATTGGGGGATTTTAACTACCAACTTTTTGGAATCTCAAAGTGTAAACACCTAAAGAACCTATTGGTAAATCTCCAGACCTTTCTATCAAGTCCAAATGAGATCCTTCGATTGCCGAAACTGTTGTTCTTAGAGATCACTAAGCTCACGGAAAATGGGGATTCTTTAAAAGCATTATCCAATGTGATCAAAAATAAAGGAAGTCAGCTTAAGAGTTTAAAACTTAACTGCAGTTTCATGGATCAGGGAAAGAACCTATCGCAATTGGAATTAAATCGCTGTCTTAGCTTGGATGAACTGGAGTTGGTGGACTGCAAATTTGAAGATCAGGAAATGACCAAACTGGGTCTTCCCGTAACCCAAAGCTATGCCATGTTTGGCAATTGCCCCGACCTCATGGATGATCAACTTTTGGTCTTCATCAAGGCCAGTCCCAAACTAAAAGAACTTGTACTTATAAAATGCCCAAAACTGACGGAAGCTCTGCTCTATGATGTTGTTAAAGTGCGCAACAGTGGTGAGAAACAGGAGCCCTTGTTAATCAGAGTTAAGAACTGCCAGGATATTTGGGATACCTATCAGAAGAACGTAAGAATTATCTGTGATTTATAATGGTTTTTAATAGAACTTGCCTTTCAGTTTTCTAGCTATTGGGATCGTAAACGATCCTTAGTCAAGTTGGAATGCATTACAAAAGAGAGCAAGCCTATTGATAATGTCCAGTTCATCTTTCACGATCCACTGGAAGGTCCCAGTATTACCCAAGTGATAGTTTGACATGATTTATACAGATTTTCAATAGATTTCTTTACAAATTAAAGCGTAGATAAAAAGTAAACAAAGTCTATCAAACATACAACGTACTATATTTATTGAGATCATCTTAGTATTTATAGGAATGTTAAAAGGTAATACAAACCAAATTTAATAAAATATATGTTTACAAAGATATTTATTTATTTAACACCTGCCTTAAATGAAAGTCCTTTTAAATATATGCCCCATTACCTTAACCATAAGAACTTCTTAATGATATATGAATTACAAAGATAGGATCGACTATCCATATATTCCACACATAAGGGAGCTTAGCCTGGCTTTTAGCCGTAATTAATCTTGGGTCTATCAGGTGGCATCAAACCAGTCTGTATGGACTTCTCCTCTTGCTAATTGGCCGCCTGCCATGTGGCGATTTGTCATAGTCACCGACTCCACCACGCATGCGCCACGCATGTGGCAACCGCCTGCCTACCGCCCACCGCCCCTGCCCCGCCACGCCCCCTGCCCCCCGCCTTCGATTGGCAAAAGCCACACGCAACAGCTACACGATTTTCAACAACAAAATTTGTCATATGTGACGATGGCTTGGTTTATTCGCTTCTCGGTTTTTTTTCGCATTTTTTCCGCATTTTGTGCGTTTTGGTGCTTTGGGCTTTGAGCATTTTGTCATTTTGGTGGCGACCACCGTTGCGGAATGCAGAAAACAAATTTGTGAACATGACGCAGTTTACAGCTCCAGTGTCCACAACTCTGCGACTGTCGCGGTGGCCACCCATTGTTATAATTATTGGGCGCCCGTGTGCAAGTGACAATTTAGCTCTGGTTCTCCGGCTTTCTGGTTGAGCATTTGTGGAGCAAACAGTAAACAAGCGACATGTGTTGAAAGTCGTCCGAGGACAGCTGTTTTGGTAGTACTTTGAAAGGAGTTGTGCCCGAAGAGCAGCCATAAATTCCTGGAAATTGAATTTTTAGGCATTTTTCATTTGGATTTTGGAGCAGAAATGGTTTCTAAAAGGAAATTGCAACCCATTTTTCAGGTTTTATGGAATTATGAATGGGATTTCCTACTAAAAGAGATAATTTTTTAACAATATCAAGGGATTCACTTCAAAAGTTTATGAAACAAGGTAAATCTGCAATAGATTCAATCAATATTTTGGGAAAGTATAGTAAAACAATGGTAAAATTATAAAATTTTTCAAAATTTATTAGTATTATTATTATTTATTTGCTTCAAAATTTGTAATAATGTCCTTATAGCATTTGTAAATTTGTAACATCTTAAGATTTGTATGTGGCACTATATTAGTTACAGAACATTTTGTAAAATGCATATTCACAAGAACTTGTTCATATGTTAAGTCAAATTTTACTGCCGACCTTATCTGTACCCCATATTCGATTTCACCTTTACGATTCGCTTAGACATCACGAATGGAAAGACCTTAATAACTTTTGCGACCTCTGTCTGCCCTCGGCCCTCGTTCCTTCAGTCAGTCATACTCTGAGCCAGTTTCGGAGTGGGGAACCCGACTTGGCCAGATCCCTGAGCTCGGGCACTAATTCGTTTTCACACTTTTCATGCATCGGACAGGTCGAAATGGCTGGCGGCGCATTGGCAGCGCCTAATTTCATACGCCAGTCTTAGATCGCGTCCCCTTCTGCGACACAGGAAGAAAAAATGATGAACAAAATAACGATATTAGGTTTTTGTTATATAAACAATATTTATTTTTATATGATTTTTCAGAATACTAAGATTTTTAATGTTGAAGTTGTTTCCTAAAATTATTTTTGAGTTGTGATCTGAAAATAATTATTGTTAATCTAAAAAGGTCCTTTATGTTTTAATAAAGTAATATGTTTTCTTTTTAAATAACATCTCATAAAAAGGTGCTTTAAAAAGAAAAATATTGTAAAGGATACAAATTTGACTCATGACTTTATAATAAGGATTTTAAGTATAACACCCAACTGCTATTACCCATCAAATTATACTTAGTAAAGTAATATCATTATTATATGTAGCTGAATTTTTTTCAGTGCATGTGACACCCGTTTCCAGCCGGCTAATATTTATATTTGCCCTGCATTTCTCACTCTGCCGATTGCAAGCGATTTGATAAGCAAATGGAAATGCAGTTCGCTGGAGAAAGAGAATATAGCCGGCGATCGGAGGAGGATGGGGAGTACGGGAAGGAGGCCAGTCGGAGTCAGACGATGGCGGCGAAAGGTGCAAATAAATAATTTGCAGTAGCCAGGCGGCGACCACTCGACGACCCACTGTTGGCCTACCAACCGCTAAAACCCCACTCCGATCCACTGAAAGCGACGGCCAGACAAATATTTTATTGCAAATTTGCTGATATTGGACGACAGGCGGCCACTGGAGCAGTTTGTAATGCTGCTGCGGCTCTTGTCCGGCTGTTTTGCATATTAAATTTATTTTATTGAATATAGGCAAAGATTTAGTTAGATATGCGAGGATGGATTGTGCAGTTTTCGGAAATTCCCATATGGGAAAATTGTAATAAGAATTACTACTTATGTATCATTATTTTTCGATATTCTTAAATTACTCTTTGCTACGAGTCTTTTTATTAAGATAAGAACCGTATTTCCTGTATTAGAAATAACTATATTCTTTAATATTTATAAGGTTTTACTAAGATCATATTATAAAAAAGGAAGCCTAAAATCTTAAAGACCATTAAAATTCATAAAAAATGGAAAAAATTAAACATTTTCGTGTTGAAATGCCAATCGATTGGAAATTAAACAACGAGCTCAAAGAGGTATAACATTCCTTATTCTGACTTATGTTTTTGTTATGGCAGCCAAAAAAATGAATTTTTATGGCGAAAGAAAGCTTTAAAATTTTTGTCAAAAATACAAAATTTAGATTTTTGTCAAAAATTTGACATTTTTTTCCGGATTTTTCATCGTAGTTCAGACAAATCATGGCGTACAGCTAAAAGACCGACTGTTTTGAACAGCTTGCTAAATATGCTAACGATCCTCATCACTTTTTGGAAAATTTATTTTTTTACCAATTTTCTCAATTTTTGTAGGGGTTACATCACTTTTTTTCGAAAAATGGCAAAAATTAACAATTTTCAGGTTGAAATGCCAATCGATTGGAAATTAAACAACGAGCTCAACGAGGTATGACATTCCTTATTCTGACTTATGTTTTTGTTATGGCAGCCAAAAAACTGAATTTTTATGGCGAAAGAAAGCTTTAAAATTTTTGTCAAAAATACAAAATTTAGATTTTTGTCAAAAATTTGACATTTTTTTCCGGTTTTTTCATCGTAGTTCAGCCAAATCATGGCGTACAGCTAAAAGACCGACTGTTTTGAACAGCTTGCTAAATATGCTAACAATCTTCATCACTTTTTGGAAAATTTATTTTTTGACCAATTTTTTCAATTTTTGTAGGGGTTACATCACTTTTTTTTCGAAAAATGGCAAAAATTAAAAATTTTTAGGTTAGAGTGCCAATCGATTGGAAATTAAACAACAAGCTCAACGAGGTATGACATTCCTCATTCTGACTTATATTTTTGTTATGGCAGCTAAAAAACTGAATTTTTATGGTGAAAAAAGGGTTAACATTTTTGTCAAAAATACAAAATTCAAATTTTTGTCAAAAATTCGACATTTTTTTCCGGTTTTTTCATCGTAGTTCAGCCAAATCAAGGCGCACAGCTAAAAGACCGACTGTTTTGAACAGCTTGCTAAATATGCTAACGATCCTCATTACTTTTTGGAAAATTTATTTTTAGACCAATTTTCTCAATTTTTGTAGGGGTTACATCACTTTTTTTTCGAAAAATGGCAAAAATTAAAAATTTTCAGGTTAGAGTGCCAATCGATTGGAAATTAAACAACAAGCTCAACGAGGTATGACATTCCTCATTCTGACTTATATTTTTGTTATGGCAGCCAAAAAACTGAATTTTTATGGCGAAAAAAGGGTTACAATTTTTGTCAAAAATACAAAATTCAGATTTTTGTCAAAAATTCGACATTTTTTTCCGGTTTTCATCGTAGTTCAGCCAAATTAAGGCGTACAGCTAAAATTCTAAGCCCGACAGCTAATTATTTTTAGGGACTATAATAGGGTTTTTCTGATAAAATCTCTGTATTTTTTCCCCAAAAATCTCTAGTAGTTCATAAGTTTTCCGAACTACCCTCTTGCTGGCCAGCACATGCGCTTTTCCAGCTCATTGTGCTACTCTTTCCTATGGAAACCGTAGCCCCCGCCGGCGGGGTGGCGCATAATTGCCATCGGATTCGGACGCCATGGATGGGGAAGGCCCAGCGGGCGATGAATTATTAATTGCCGTTGATTTGCATTGAGATTTGAACGGTCCGGGATCATTACCGGGCCCGGCAATCTTGGGCACCGCCGTCCGCCGACCACAGACCGCATATAGTGTAAACATAATAATCAACGGGCATTATATGCCGATATATGGGCGATCAGTAGAATGCGCTTTTGCAAAATGGCCGGCGGTCAACGCGGCCCCCAATTGACACCTGAGCGGCCGAGTTGCCTATTACTGCTACTATTATTATTATTGTTGCTGCTGCTGCCGCAGCTGTAATTGTTATTTATGCACTTGCATTTAGCCGCTTGTAATGGCATGTGGACCGCCGCCATGCCCCCTGGGATGGGCGTAACGCCAGCAATTTGCAGTGCGGCGAACGCTTGCGTAACAGTTCGAATCGCCTAATTGTGGGGCGATTGTAGGGGCACAATGATGCTCGAAATTAAATTGTATTGGGTCATTATCTGCCTGAAGTAGAAAAGGATATCGTAAGATCTTGATATGTTGTTTTATTTGATATTACATTTCGTATAATTATTATTTTTATTGAAAATGCTTATATATCTTACATTTCCGCGATGAGTAGATGATTTAGAATATATAAAAAACCTAAAACTAAAAAAAAAAGAGACAAAAATAAACATTGAAATAAATTTTGGGACCATTTATATTTAAGATCTAGTTTGAAGAATTAAAAAATATGTTCCGGTAAAAGAGACCTATGTAAAAGACATCTATTATTATCATATAGTTTAAAAATATAATATCTAAATGCACCAAAATAAAATATTTTTTCAAAACCCACAAGCAAAATTTGTTTTAATGTGGTTTTGTAGCATTATATTTAAAATGTCTTGTAACTGTAAACAAAAGTCAACCAAATCTGGTCTTAAATGATTTTCAATATACTTTGAAATTGCTAATATGCTAATTCGAAGCGGTGAAATCCGTCTTACAAAGTAGTCAAAGTTCAAGCTAACTACAAGGAGGTAAAAAATCGGATGTGTAGATAAATCTCCCAGTTTTTTCCTTGGGCAGGGCACACGCGCTTAAGATCAACTTGAAAAAGTCGCGGATCCCTGGAATCCAAGGAATAAACAGAAAAGTAAGAAAAAAACAAAGAGTTGCCCTCCTTTGTTGTTGCACTTAAAGTCGCTAAAAACGCGGTGTGTTCGCTTGTCAAAATTGCAGCTTCCAGGTTTTTTTTAAACGTTAAGAAGCCACAAAGAGATGACGCAGTCGAAATGGTTAAATGAATTAACCCTTTTACTTTGCACAAACACACACATATGCATGCAGGCGGTAACACAGTGGCAGCAACAACAATAGCAGCCACTGATTTTTCTTACTTTTCAGGCAGTTCTTGTAGTTTTTGGTCAACACACAGATTAACCTACACCTTAGCGAAAATATTTTACGTATTAACACTACACTATTCTTTAAACAAAATATTAAAACTTGCTGTTATTAAGTATTTTTGTAGGACTCTTTTTTATCATATTTAAACATCACAATTTTTTAAGATTTATTAATATTTAGGTTCGAAAACTATGTTAAATTTGTATTTAGAAAAGATGTGAAATTTTATAAAAAAAATTTGTTGAAAACGTTTTCTGAAAAACAATAAAAAACTATTCTCAAAACTAACGTTCTTTTACTCAAAAATAATTGACAATTTTGTTTTAGTGTATATTTTTTGACAGGTTTTTAGAAGTACTAAAAGTATCACTAAGGTATAAGCAGAAGTTGGTAAAAATTAGTTATTTCCGAAGAGGTAGTTAGGGTGTGCTAACATTTTGGCTTTGCCCTGGCGGCTCGTGGGTACACACATTTATTTAAATGCTTACCTTACCGCTTGGCCTACCTCTCGGCACTTGAGATGGAGCTGAAGCTGAAGAAGCTGAAGCACGGTGGAGAATTGCGCGTAAATTCGTTGCGGTCTCCGCGTCATCAACGTAATCGCCGTCAACAGCAGTCAACAGCATCAAACTGGCAGGCAAATGTTGCTACTGTTTCCAGACGCAGTCCGTCCGGCCAACAGAAGCCACAGAAGCACCAACAGCCAAAGTGAAGTGGTTTTTTTATGATGAGATGAGATGAGCCGAGCCCAAAGAGCAGCACTTTCCAACCGAGAGGACGGGGCCCACAACAAAAGCGTGTCTCTCGAGTTCGGTAATGGGATGTATCTATACCTCCGTAAAGAGTACATAATGTGTGGAACCTTTTCATACAAAATAAACACAAAGCAATATTTGCAAAAACAAAAAAGGTAGGAATGGGATTTACTTATTTTAAGGAAAAAACTCTTTAATACATCCAATTTAATCCGAATATAAATTTTATATTTATTTTATAATATGAAAAATCAGCTACTAACTTAAGTTCCTCAAATCGGTAAAGGTTGTAATGGTGATACATAAGTTATACATTTTAAAATTACTTTTTACTAAAACAAAAAGAAATTTCAGAAATGTTTAAATTCTTAAATGTTTTTAATCTGAATACTTTTTACATCTGAGAATTTTGTCAAATATTCCTAGCCACTTCCAATTGTCGGCAAAGTATCTGCGAAAATGAGGGTCTACCTGTATCAGATGCGCCCGGTGCTGTTCCTTTTCTACATCGTGGAGACCGCGGCCAATATGTTGCTGATCCATTATTATCTGAAAACGTTCGTGTTCGTCAACTTGGCCTTGATGGGTTGGGGCGACTTCGTTAACCAATACTTGTATATGCTTTGCTTTTACATTTTCACGGTGCTGACGACCTTTGCCAGCATAAATCTGTGCACCGGCAACCATTGTTCGATCGTCGAGGAAGTAGTGCGACCATTGCTCGGGTTCGTTACCTATACGATCTGCTCTCTGATGGTCCTCAGCGATGCCCAGTCGGACATCTATGTTCTGTACTCCGATAAGAAACCAGATGATTTACTAATGCCCGAGAAGCCAATGCATCCGTATTTCGATAATATAAGGCTCCAGGCGACGATCTCTTTGGTGATCAGTGTGATTTTCCTGCTGCACTGTCTCATCGCATTGGATGTCCTGCTGTCCAACGAGGACTCGGATGATGAACGTTCGTCGGATAACTCTCAACCCTCCGATCCCTCCGACGATATTGTCGATGAGCTGGACTACGTCCCGGTGCGTCTCTATGTTTTGGGAGGAGTGGCGCAACGCTGGCTGGAACAGTACCAGTGGTTCCAGGACTTTACCCGCTCTGGAGTCTCAAATATCTGAATTCTTTATAATGTGAAAATTTCTTAAAACTCAAAAATAGAAGAGTCCTTAATGTATAATAGAAGTATTATAGAATAGTATGGATTGTAATATGTATATAGTTAATATTTAAATTCGGTGGAGATTTTCGGTACATTTTATTTTTTTTAAAATTTCAGTATACAAGTATACTGTATACTCAGTATACATTTATTATTTTTAACATTAGGTAATGTAAATTTAATATTTAGAAATGTTCTGAAAAAATAGACATCAAACCTTCGATAGCTTATGTAAATTGTGTTAGCTTAAATACCAAGCCAAATCTGTTTAATCGTAACAGGTCATATTATATCCTATTAATACCAGATATTGGCTCACTGAAACGTAATACCTGTTATCATGTCCCCTGGTAATTATGCAGCGTTTAGTTTCCGCTATATGCAATGAAATGGACCCTCCCCATCGCTGTTCTTATGACGTCAGCGGGAAGCAACAGTTACGCGCTGCATCATACAAAGCTCATTGTCGTCAATGTGTCAGCGATAAGCAGCTGGGGTCTTATATATATATCTGTATCTGTATCTATCCGGGGATAGTGCGCATGTCCAAAGTCGGAGAAGGAATCGATAAATTATGGGGCCGAGCGGCAGTCAAGAGCAAGGTAAAGCATTGCCCTGGTACTGTTGGGTGTGGTGCTTTCATTCATGAAAAAGTGCTGTATATGTATAGTCCGTGTCCATGGCCCTCACCCTGTGGGACTTACTCAAGGCTATTTTTAACGCAGGCCAAAGGCTGCCGGCCGGATGTCGAGGCTTTTGAGAGAAGTTTTCCTTTCTGTTCGCACAAACTATGCAATGCAATTACGAAGTCAGTCTGCCAGTCTGCATTGTTTACTTGCATCATTTTAAGGTAGATTTCCTAAAGGTAGTAAAATAGGTAGGGAAAGGAAAAAATAAAGAGGTTTTAAGATAAAGTAATTAATATCGAGTAATATAATAATGTCAAGAACGCTCTGTAATACCCGATAATGCCATTTTTATGGCCTACTTTTCGGGGTTTTCTATCCATACAAATTCGTTTTTAATTTTCTTCTTGTAGTGAGTTGTCACAAATTACATAAAACTATTAACAAATATCTAAGTTTCACAATGGTCAATTACATAACAATTAATTAAAATCTAAATTCTGATAGTCAAGTTATAAGGAGTGCTTTAGAATATTTTACGAATTAAGAAGTGTTTTTAAGTTTCTTCAAAATAAAAAAATATAATATTAAATTAGCCACAATAAATTCCCCCCAAAAAGCTGGAATTCAAAGGATAAATTTAACTGAAATTCCATTCCCTAAGGAGCTGACTTTAAGCACAGGGTCAAGAAATCAAGAATAAATCTTCACAAAATTCATTTAACAAGGAGGAAAAACGTCTTTTCTCCCACGCTGAAAGGGAATGTGAAAAGTACATGAATGCGAAAGGGAAAATCGATAGGGACGCCATTCCGAAGGAGCGTTGTGTCCTTGAAATCGAAAAGGGAAAGAGCCATTCATGAAATTAGTCGAAGTTTTCATGAATGAAAAAGGCGAGCGAGGAGTTAGGAGAATTTTCTTCGGGATTTGGTGAGTTTGCGCAGGACAAATCGGTTATTTTTGGAGAGGTTTGTTCGTGGTTCGGCTTTCGAAAGTTTCTCCTTTTCAGGGCACTGACGCAACCACATTGCGCTGTTCCAAGGTCAGCGTAAAATTTCATTCATAAAACTGATACGCCCCATGGCGTATACATATATATATATACCCATGGCGCGTGTAAGTTCCCAGGGGGTGGTTATGGATTGGGTGGTTGGATTTGGAGCCATGGATCCACTGCGGATATGGGCTAAGCGAGCACTCCGTTTTCAGCTTGTTGATTTTTCTACGCGTGCAAACACAAACAAAGCGTGAAACCTTTTCATTCATAAAACCAACTCAGGGGGGCTCCAAACTTTTGACTTTCTAATGCCGCAACCCCCCAGTAAAATGCTTGGGGCCCAAAAACAATTTTTGGAGCGAATCCAAAAAACAATTTCGCGCTAAGCTGAAAGCAATTTTTGCCCCTAGGAGCTTTAGAAAACTTAGTCATTTGGTTGTCGTTTAGATGGGGGCTAAATGTGGATGACTGTCATCTTGCTGACTGCGAAATGGCAAAGGTTATAGAATAAATGATGCGTGTGGATATTTATAAAACTCAAATAATATACAAAATGAAAAATGTACTGAAAATTATAATAAACACTTCTTTTAAAAATAATACATGTTATAAAAAAATTGTTTTATATTAAATCAAAAAAGTTTTATAAATTTAGGAAACGCTAAATTAATACGAAAAAATAAAAACAAGAACACAAATTTAATTTTCTCTAAAGATGACCCAGTGATTGGCTAAAACATTATTACGCACACTTGTTATTACGGCACACTTGTCGTATGAGTAATATTTTGAGATCTGTTGGCCACGACGTATCCCCTGGTGGTCACATGCTGCATGAATTTCCCGATGGCAATGCGACGCAGAAAAGTGGACTTCAGAACCAGCAGGTACTTGCACTTCTGAATTTTGGAGTAGCTGGGCTAAAATTCCATTACATTTTTACATTCATGAAATAAGCTAAAGGTTTTGGTAAAGTACAAATTAAATGTTTTATTTGTAGGGTCCTAGATACTTTAGAATGTTTTATTATTGACTTTCTATAAGAACATGTGCGAAATATATTATATGCGAGTATATACAAAATAAAATAAAATTCATCAACTTTCAAAAAAATAAAAAAGTTTCTTAGTTTTATTTTGAATTTTCCTCTATGAATTTCATAATTGTATACAACTATTCAGTTCCTCTTCATTAAGCTGCACACCTCTTAATAGTAATAAATATATTGGACAAAATATGTCATATTAAATTTATTTTATAAAGTGCTTGTTAACAGCCAATTTGGTAGTTTTAAATGTGCAATCGTCAAAAACACAGTGGGGCACACCTTCTAAACGATTTTGAGGCACAGTTTGATATTCTAGAGAGAACATATTTTCAGCTATAACCTAAAATACATTTTTAAATCCATGCTCACTTATTTTTACAAGAGAGCCATTAAGCGATACACAAAAGATCAAAAACGCAACTACGTACAAGGTAAAATGAAAAATAATAATAAGTTAGCATCGATTTATGGCTACAGCTGTGTCGTTTGGTTGCCGCCCGCGAGTCCGGAGGTCGCTCCCTTCTCCATAACGCTGGGAATGCCCGGTTCCGATTCGGATCGTTTGTGCGTTCGCTTGGGCAGCCGCTGGGTCGCCTGCTTGGCCTTGAGGCTCGCCTCTCCGTCGCCGGAATGGTTGAGCAGCATCAGATCCGGCTGGCTGCGCACCAGGTCCTGCTCCTGGTAAACCTCCTGGACGGCTGTGCTCGCATTGTTATTGGTCACCTGCTCGTTAAGGCAAACATCATCCAAATCCACATCGCTGTTGGAGAAGAGAGCTGTAGCGCCCAGTTCCAGGGAGTTGGTTACATCCAGCTCCTGCTCACTGACCGCTTTCTTTGGCGTAGACGTGGAGGCAATCGAGACACGGGAGAAATTCTTGCTCACATCCAGATTGACGGCACTGGGTGGGGTCAACAGTGTGGTCACCTGCGCTGGCTTCGAGCCAATGCTAATGTTATTATTATTATTGTGACTCTGCCCGCCCATCGAAGTTGTTGAGACAGAGGCAGCTGGTCCTCCAATAACTGGCACATTGGTCATGCTACTCGGTGTTGAACTATTCCGCTCGGTCTGATGTTCCTTCATTAATTTGCAGGCCTTGCCCAGGGCGCATATGGTCAGACAAATCCGCAAGCCCATGGCAAACAGATAGGCGAGCAGGAAGAGTAGCCAGGCGGCCAGGTTCTCGAAAGAGACCGCCGTATAAATGGCTTTTATCAAGACCACCGCCAGGGGGAATGGAATAAATCCCATGCGTCTGGCCACCAAATCCGAGTGATCCGAGAAAGCATGCTTTTGTCGCGTCTGGGTCATGTCGTAAGCCAAGCTGGTTGTGTACTCTCTGTAGATGCTCTCCGGCAACTCGTTGAATCTTGTGATGAACGCATGCTTTACCCAATCGATAAGTATTTCCGTAAACAACACGGCAAAGCAGTCGGGCAGCATCACACAGAACTGGGTAATGCTCCAGTCGAACTCCTTCATGGTTTGGATGACTACAATAAACAGCAGCACTGAAAGGTGGAAGCGCTCACGCACATCGCTGCAGGTCAGCTGGAACAGATTGTTCTTGTCGAACTTTTTGAACACGGATCCTTTGAGCTCCACGAAGTTGTTCGATATCATAATGGTCAACAGACCCTTGTTGTTCGAGTTCACTGCCACATTCAAACAGGTGGCCTGAAAGAAGAAATAAACCATAAATTGTAACCCAATCAAGGAAAGTTAATTTTCTACAACTGACCTGAAACATGATCAGTCCGCTGTGCAAAAACACGTAAATTAGAGTGAAGAGAACGTGCGTGAGTACTCCAAAATGTTCCCTCTTTGAGTTCTTTGGTTCGGTGGCTGTCCAGAAGAGAGCATCGATGGTGTCCTGACCGAAGGCGGACAATAGTCGGTCGCCCACTTCCAGCATATTGTAGAATATGTACAGCTTGATGATTGACTGCGATTTTATGATGTGGTACACCCGATTCGTGTCCACCAAGAGCATTATTAGCGTCACCGTCATCCAGATGAAGCCTTTGAGCAGATCGCAGATTTCCGCAGGCGACAGCAGCCTTTGTCCGCTGCTGCGAAGGCGAAAAATGCGCGCCACCGTCCTTGAAACCAGGGCCCAAATGGCCATCAGGAATCGGACGGGCAGAAAGGTGTGAATGTACAGGAAGGAGTCGGCACACTGCATGATCCCGTAGACCATGAACCGCTCCAGATCTCGTGGTATGCGCATGAAACTGTAGATCTTCTGTCGGCGCGCCGAATAGCGCTCCTCATCATGCTCCAGCATATAGCCGCGTGTCATCTCCACCTTGAAGAAGTCGTAGAATGTGTTGGTGCAGGTCTCTGTTGTTCCTAAAAAGGGTACAAATTGTTTGGTTTTAATGTGCAAAATAAAAATTAATTTAAAACGTAAATTGTAGAATACTTATATTTAAGGGAGTTTTTTTAATCACTGGTATTGTAAACTCCAGAGATCAAATAAAAATCGTGACCGATATTTATCTTTATAGTTATTATACATTTTTAGTGAAAATGCAATTTTTAAAGTTCCCATGACATTCCTAATTGGTGGACTTTGTATTTGAGTTAAACCGGAACCGGCTTTTAAGCCCGTATAAAAAACCTATATTGTATAGTTGTGTTTACAATTTTAATAAATTTTGTATAAAAAAGATATAAACCTCTTTCTTAGGACCATGAGACTAAGGATATTAAATAGATACCCCAAAATGGTTCTTCCCCCAATATTTACCGCTCTGCAGTCGCTGCTGCGCTGCTCCCGCTGCCGGCGTCGCAGTCGGCGTCGCTGCAACGTCATCCTGGGCGAGCGGCGCCTTCTGCTTAATCTCCTCCTGCTGATGATGCAGTTCCTCCACGCGGCTGCCGGTCATATCACCGCGGAAGCGCAGCTGCCGCTTACCGCCCGCCGAATTGAGTGATGTGTTCATTAAGTACGGTTTGTGGAATCCATAAAATTAATAATAACAACGAGTTGAGCTGGGAAATGTCTGGGTGAAACAGCAGCTAGTGTAAATGTACTAACGCGTGGCGCAAATACCAAAACGTAAACACTGTCACAAACGGTCACACTGAGTTAGCAGAGACAGGCTCCTCACTTAGCGGAGACATTCGCCTGACGTAGCGCTGACAAGGGAAAATACCAGCTTGTCTATCGAAAAATCAATCGCTGGAGTACCGCCACTAAAGAAAAGCGTAGAAATTTTTTAATATAGTTTATAATCAGAAAATATGACTGCATCCGTTGAATTGAGCTCATATCGCGATCAGCACTTTAAGGTGAGTATGGTCGGAAGTTTGGCTACCAATTACTAACATAAAATCCTCGTTGCAGGGCTCTCGCTCGGAGCAAGAGAGATCGCTTCGCGACTCGTGTACACTATATGTTGGAAATCTTAGTTTCTACACGACGGAGGAGCAGATCCACGAGCTCTTCTCCCGCTGCGGCGATGTCCGGGTCATAGTAATGGGTCTGGACAAGTACAAGAAGACGCCCTGTGGCTTCTGCTTCGTGGAGTACTATATAAGATCGGAGGCGGAAGCTGCCATGAGGTGAGACATCTGGTCGCTGGGGAAAGCCACATTGTTCCCGGTAATTGAGGAGTTTTCTAGATCTCTATCCACAAAGGAACAAAGGAGCTCCTTAGATAGAAGAAATGTATAACCTATGTCCGAATTTCATATTTTAGTTGACCAATTAGTTCCACTAATTGCAAAATGTTGAGAAACATTACTAGAAAAACTTAGAAATGTAGCATTTTAGGGAATTGTTATTCTTGTTTTTGTAATGAAAACATGTTCTTTTGTGTTTTAGAATAGATTTTCTCGTTTGATAAACCATTATTATGATCTACATAATCTACATAAAACCGTATAGCCCAGCTTATTTGTATCATTCAGTTTAGCAGTTAATAGATAGAACCTGTTATATTTATATTTAGATCAAAAATAAGCTTAGCTTCGAACTCAAATTGGATTACTTATTTATTAGATTAAAATGTAGTTTTTAAATAGAATCTTTTTAACACAGCATTTTCTTCTTTCCCCTCATAAAGATTTGTGAATGGCACCCGCTTGGATGATCGACTGATTCGTGTGGACTGGGACGCCGGCTTCATTGAGGGCAGGCAATATGGACGCGGCAAAACCGGCGGCCAGGTGCGCGATGAATATCGTACGGACTACGACGCCGGACGGGGAGGTTACGGCAAGCTGCTATCCCAGAAGATCGCCCCAAACACCGATAACCGCTAGCCCTACGATAAGATTAACGTCTAAGCCTCCACAATTAGTTATTAAAGCAACCACCTAGATATAACATCTCTAATCGCATATATTTATTGTACGTGCTACATAGTTCTTTTGAAGACGTAATTGATATCATTGCGGTCTAGCATTACTTTGTGAGTTTCTAGTATTTTTGGGAGACTGGAATTCATTTACTTCTTGCCAATGTTGTTGGCCAGCGAGCAGCTGAGTCCGGTGCCATCGGGCTCCACGTTCAACTCGGTCACCTTGCCGTTCTCCACCACCAGGGAGTAGCGCTTGGAGCGGACGCCGCCAAGTGGGGGCAGATCGATGGTCACGTCCAGGGCCTTGGTGAAGCCACCGGCGGGATCGGCCAGGAGGCGCACCTTGCCAGCTGCTCCGTGCTCCTTGCCCCAGGCGGACATCACGAAGGGATCGTTGACCGATACGCAGACGATCTCATCCACACCCTGCTTGGACTTCAGCTCATCGGCGGAGCTCACATAGCCGGGCAAATGGGTCTGCGGGTTAGGAAAATTGTTTATTCATTTGTTAAGTACTGCATGAATTACACTGCGAGTTAACAAAACTATGAATTTGAGAAGTTTTGAATGTTATTTCTAATTCTATTTTTAAATTAAGGGTTTTTATTTGTTTATATTTTGAAGGAAGGTCGTAATTAAGCCCAATCATTTTGTTTATACAAATTTGTAATGGAATTTTTTGTAATTCTTATAATAGTTAGGTTATGATCTTTTTTTCTTTGAATGTTTAATATTACTTGGCGGACTATACAAATCGACTAGAAGTTTATTGTTTTAATTGTTAAATCATAAACACTTTTAAATTCCATAGTATTTTTAACATTTTCATCTTATAAAGTCGAACCTCAAGAGTCTGTAGCCTATCGTATAAACTTTTTTTGCGGTGTAGAAAGGGATATTGTTACGTACCTTGGAGCAGCCGGGAGTGAAAGCTCCGGGAACGCCGAAAATGATCACCTTCTTGCCGTTGACCAGGTCACCGGTGTTGATCTTGTTGGCCGGGGAGTCCTCGAAGAGGTCCACCGAGGGCAGGGAGTCACCTACCTGGAATTTGGGGAAAACACACACACACAGAGTTAGAAAAAAGAGGAGAGATGGTGGTAACCTTGAAGCGTTGCAATTTCTCAGGTCGCTGCAATCAATATTCATGCAGTTCGTCCCCCGGCTTATGTAACGCACCACGGGCACTACGGCAGATGGAAATCGGAGTTTTCCGGTGACCTCCACTTACTTTCACCATGACTGCGGCTGTTCTGGATAAAGATCGCTGCGAAATGATTTGTTGGGGCAGCGCGGAGTTCACAACTCGGCCAAGTAATTTGCACGACAGCACACGCATTTCTCCTCTCTTTCTTCTTCTCACACACACACAGGCTCGCACGCACACGGCCAAGCACTGCATCTGGGCGAACAGCAGCGTTGCCATACCGCCGCGAAAAAACAATATGGGTTGTACTTTTCAGTCAAGTCTTAATTTTTACTACCTCATTCTTTTGGGGGGGAAATAAAACAATAGGTTGAGGATAGACTTTCGTCATGCTTGGAGGGGGTTGGGTTTTTTTTTAAGTTTCTAGTGGGGCTATGTGGCCGCCCTGCTGACTATACTGTCCGCCAGTCTCTCCAAATCATCCAGGCTCTGTTCGTTGATTTTCTTCTCGAAGTCGGCCATAAACTCGTTGGTCAGACGTTCCGCCTGGTGTTCCGAATAGTGCTTCCGGAATCCGCGCAGAATGCTGTCCCTCAGGCACGGTTTCATCACCACTAGATTGAGTTTGGTGCCCTCTTTGATATTGGGATAGGATGCGATGGTCTGGTCATTGTTCAAGGGACGTCCCAGAAGCAATAACTTTTGATTGGCCGCCGATATTTGCAGTTCCACTTCTATCTGTTGTTTCACCTCCAGAATCGTGGATGTCGGCGCGACCTGCGTGGAAAAGAGCTCCATGAATGACATCTCTTGATTTACTGAACTATGGATGGCACTTACCTCGATCGTGCAGTCCTGGCCCTTGAGCACTTTGATTGTGATCTGCATAGTAAATGCCGAAAAAGTGAATATAAAATATGAAATATGGCTCGCAAGTAATATAAACAATCTGGCTTTCGCGTTGCCAGCTGGCGGGAGTTGCCACAAGTTGCGAACAGGCAGCGCAGCCCTGGTTTATCAGAAGTAAATAAAAGATAAATGTTTATTCATAATCTATTAATTTATTAGTGTAGATGATTAAAATAAATGTGTAAATAACATTTGACAAACTATCGCAAGCAGTCACTGTTTATAAACGGAAATAGTATCGAATATTTGGATACTTCCTATCATTTAAAACAACTCCTAAGCTGTTGAGTAATTGTTTATTATCTTTTCACGCTTTAACGTATTCTAAATATGATAATTTTACACAAACTATAGCCAAGGCCCTGGTATTTAGATAAATAATAAATGCTTTTAAGCTGAACAATATTATTTTATGGCTAGAAGACAACAGATAATACATATTAACTTGTTAAAACATAAAACTAGATACAAGTGTAAAAACTATCGAAGGCCCGCGACATCTGGCAACGCCGCCGCACGCCTGCAGCCCTGGCCTGGCAACTCTATTTTCTATTGAGCACCGACAACGTTGCGTGAATAAAACAGTTTACATAAATTATTATTTACAATTGCACTGGCCGTTGATGTTGTGCGTTCGCAGCTAAAAGGTGAACTTGACCCCGGTGCCGATAGTCCGCCAAGCAATTAGGTGTGAAATTCGCGAGCGAGCCTTGTGAAATTCGCACGCGAAAATCAAAGCGAATCGCAGCGATCGAAGAAATTGCAGCGCAAATAATTCGTAGCCTCGGCTGAATTTCAACGCGAGAGCGGTGTGCGTGTGTGTGTTTGAGTGTGCTGTGCGAGATTCTGTGATTCTGTGTGCGTGTGCTAGCGTTTTTGTTAGAACTCGCATTTTACGTAAAGAACCAGCTTTTATCAGCAGTGAATTTGATGTTGGCGAACCTATATCGCAGCAGGGGCAATTTGAAACAGTTCTTGCAGCTTCTGGCGGTAAATTGGCACTATTTGCCCCCATTATCAACACCCAAACCCCCCTTTAAAAAGAATAACCCAAAAACCAACCTCGCCCCTTGACATTCAAAGTTATATTTATTTCCCCCTTACATGCATATATATATATATATCTATATAATTATTGTGTGTTTGGGTCTTGGAAGTGCAACTATTAATCGTGCCTAGTACACATTTTATTTTTATGCTCTCTCTCTCTCTCTGGCTGTGCTGTCTCTTTCTCTCTGTTTCACCCCTTTTTGAAACTGCATATTTGCTCAGTGCTTTAACAATATTTGTGTTGAAGAATGCCCATCCTTGCACCTCCAAAAGAAATGCAAAAATAGTAAGAAAAAAATCACCAACACCACCCAAAAGCGCTCTTCTTCCCCCATTTTCCTTGGCATGTCTGGCAACCCTGGCAATTGGTCGACGGCCATTGCTTCGCAACTTGTTGCTCGTCCCTCGCATCGCTAGCTCTCTTTTGCTCTCCCACTCTCTCTCTCGCGAGTGTTTTGGCATTTTTGTTATTTATTTCCGTTTTCCGTAAGTTTTATGCGAAGCGAAAACAATGAAATGCCTGTGCTAAGTGCTAATGCGATAGTTCCATTCGGTTCGAAATTGAAATTCGAAGATTCCTAAATTTCCAGCACCTGTCCAATTGTAAGTTACAGCATTAATCGGGGGAACGTGTTTGGTACCGTTTAGAACCGGATTTGCTATGCTAGAGAATAAGAATATGATCGTGCTGCTGTGGGGACTTCTTGTGACAACTTTGGATCTCCGATTCGAAGCGGTTTTCCGCCATTAAGGCAATTCCAATTGGAAAGCGCGCAGCAAGAGATTCTAAAAGGTTGCTCCGTTTCCCATTGGCAATGTGTTTACAGTGGAGGTTAGGCGAATAGTAACTGGAAAATATTAAAATAAAAATTATAAAAATAGATAAATTAAAGAAGAAATGCTTTTGGAAATCCGATTTGATTTATTTGCTAGTGAAATAATGAAAATCATAAAAAATGCCAGTGAACCCTTGGTTTCTTTTGAACCCAGTTGTATGAGAATGCGTGTGTGTTGATTGTGTTTTTGTGGCTTTAATTGCATGGTGTGTGTTATTGCTGTTGTTATTTTTCTTTTAGTTATTGCTACGTTAATTTCTTTCTTTCGACACTCTACAGTGCAAATATAATTTTCAGATAGCAATCAATTGAGAGCGGTCCAACCCGGCTGTTGTATTTGTTTGTTTGTCCGGTTGTTTACGTTTTTTTTTCGTTTATCGCTGGTTTTCATTTTGAATTTTTTTTGTAAAAAAAAAACAAGAAAAGGGAAGAGCACATCCAAAGAGCCCAAAATAGAACCGATTGCGTATTATGGATAACGAGGCGTTAGAACCAACAACAAAGAGCAGTACGTCGGCAGCGGCGCCAGCAGCAGCAGCAGAAACAACAACAGCAACAGTGGGAGCAATAGGAACAGCAACAACAACAAGCACAGCTTCAGCGGCAGAATCCAAAATCGAAACGGCCACAAACAACAACACAAGCAGCAGCAACAACATAGTCATACCGGCATCGGCCACTAACGGTATCAAAGAGAGTAACAGTAACTTAAGTACAACAACAGCAGCAGCAGCAACAACAATACCACCAGTTGGAACAGCGGCGGCAGCAACAACAACCACAACGGCTACCATACCAATTGTGGTGACCAGCGGCGGTGTTCCAATCAGCAGTGAGGTGAGTAGCTGTCCCCCCAAAAACACCACCCAACACCCACCACACACCCCCACTCACTCACTCTCTATCTCTGTCTCTCTCTTTCACCTGTCGCCCTATATGCATGCCTACCGTTATTTTGGCATAAACGTAAACCTTAGAATAATGCTTACTCGTACTTTTTGTATGTGTATGTGTGTAATTGGCACTCCATGGAGCACAACACTTCCTTGACTTTATCTTATCTTATCTGTACAAATGATGTGTGTTATTATCCCCCTTCCCTTTGTCTACCCTTCGCACGATTCCAGTTAGATTGACCAACACCAATTAGATTCACATTGTTATTTGTGTCGTTTGGATAACAAATCGAATCAGAAATCTATCACAAGTGCTCGACAAGCCAATCAGTAATTTCCCCTGTCCCACACTTCCAATTTGCCTTTTTTGGGAAAAAATCTGATTATCGGGGATTTATAATTTTTTTAAATTATGGATTCAGTTTTAAAGAAAAAAATTCAATTACAATAGAAGTGTTTACACTTGTATGTTTAAAAAGCATCTCACATTTTTTTCTTTATAATAGTAATTTTAAATCGCCTTATCTTAAAAGTGATTATGGGTAATATACGAATTACTTCAAGTACGACGATTGTGTAGATAATAAAGGCAATCTTGTATTAATCATTGCTTTTACAATTACTTTACAAATCCTTATCTTTATAAATTACAAAGATTTCTGGTTTTTAGTTTCGACATTTTAAAGTCAACTATAAATTGTTTGGCTCCATTATATAGAGTCCATATTTACAAATACTATCAAATTCACATGCCTGTTTTCAAATTTAACCATAAAAACCAAGGCAAGCACTTTGCTTTTTGAAACTGCCAGCAAGAATACCTATATGTTAGTGCCTGGAAATGATATGTACATAAATGCAAAACCTGAGATTGCGATACCACCTGATACCTGGTAGATGCCAGCAATATAATCCAATATGTGTGTGGAAAGCCCTCCGAACTCCGAATTCCGACCTCCAAGCTCCCTGACCCAGTGCACATCTCAATGTTCGGCATTACTAAACTCAGACTAAAACACACCCACAGGCAGCTCGTCTTAGGCGTCAAGGATTCGCCCAGTCCAAGGTAAAAGCGATCGCCGCAATGGCAACGAAGGACCCCATCTGCTTTGCTCTGATTTTGCAAGTGCTACGTTTTGAGTATGCTTTCTTTACGACCATATGTGTATATTGCTTTGCATTCGTTGTTTCAAATATTTTTTCATTTACTAACCATAAGCCATAACCGTTGACATGGACAAGATAACAAGATATGTGGTAATTGTGCGCACTTGCAGGCTAACAAAGACAAGGACAGCACTCCACCGCGGGATGCACCGCCGCCCACGCCGATCACCAAGGGTCTGAACCTCACCGGCACCCCGCTTGTTCGCAAGGAGAAACGCCAGGCCAGCGCCCGATACAATGCGTCCAAGAACTGCGAACTGACGGCCCTCAGTCCCCTGAACGAGAGTGAGTAAGCCCAAAAGGATATGTTATTCTATAATATATGTATTTCTAATAATTAAGTTGGCTGTCTCACCAATTTGCAGATCGGTTGTATAGGATTGTCATTGGCCTGTTTACTGTAGCATACTTTTCGAGGCAGGGTTACTGTCCAACTGATTTCGAAAATCACACAACTTTTTTAAAACTTTATTTGAAATTCTATGTGTGCAACACCTAATACCCATTTTAGTTTCCAAAAAACGTTATAACATTTTTAACATTTAAATAACTTCCTTTCTTTTTTTATTTCAATTGTAAGAAGAAAAATTTTTAAATGTAGGTTTATTTAAATATAGTGAACCCAAACCATCTAAATCTACAAAACATTTACATACATATAAAATCTTTTTATTAAAAAGTCAATAAGAACTGGGTAAATTTCCGTTGTTAAAAGTTGAGCTTTAGAATTTACAAAAGGCCCTTACTATAATAGAATCCGATCTGCAAGTTTGTTGAGAAGAGTCGTCGGCGAGCCGATCTCAGAAGCTTTTGTTAGCGGCGCTTGATTAATTTCGCTCAGCTGTTGCAATTTGTTTATTATTTGTTAATCACGTACGGGAAAGTTAAAGGTCAAGGGAGTGTCGTCTGATTAGGTGGGTGGCAACACTGACGCACGGCCCACCCACACACCCGCACATCCTCAGCCGCATCATTTACACCTCTCGCAAGCTCTCTTTCTCCATCTGCGAAACTTCAACACATGCGCTCTCTTCGCAGCCTCTCGTAAACCGGAAAAAATTAATATTGCGATTATTTTACACATCATTTGCAGCAACATATACCAGAACTCCCATATCATAAAAAGATCTTTACAATCTTAGCAATTTAATACGCAAATATCGAATCTATATTTATTAGGCTGTAAAAATCAAAAAATCATTTATCAGCAGTTGTATTTGAACTCGGGTTTTGTTTTTTCAAGGGTATTTCCTATCTTCAGGGAAATAAAATAGTATGCAACTCTATTAAATCATCTCTCATAATTAAGTTACATATTTTTACTCATGGTTTTCGATTATATATCGACCTCATTTTTTTTCTGTGTAGTATTAATATCGTCGAATTGTTATTTGCTTACCTTTCCGCTAATTGATTGGGCGGTTTCGACTTACGAATCGAATAAACACATTTTGCTTGTTCAATATTTTTGTTTTATTAGGTTTAATTGTTGTTGCGGCTCTCTCCCAATCACCCACCCACCCACTCACTTTCTCTCTCTCTTTTGAATTTCTCTCCATTTCGTTCTCTCGATATCGATTTTTCCGATTGGCGCACCAGTCGAAGCAACAAAAAAGAACCGTTTCAAGACCGTGCAACATCGAGAGCCCCCAAAAATGTAAATATTAGTTGAGAATATTCGTTCCCCTAGTTAATTGCTCTCCTCTCCTTTTCCCTGATTTTTCACCCTTCAAACCGTAAGTTTTTATAGATTTTTTAAGCCCACTGTAATGGGAAAATAGAAAACTTTTAAACAGAGGCGTTGTCGTTCATTTCCATTTTCATTTCCATAGCATATCATTTCGTTTTATGTTCCCATCAACGCATAATCGCATTTGGCATTAATCTAAAACCATTATATATATTGCAATTCCATTACAGATTCTATAGTTTCAAGCTTAGCGTGCCCAAATTGAGTTTCTAGTGTAGTGTTTCTCATGTGTTGTTGTTGGTCGGCGGGGGCGGCTGAAGAAAAAAAGAAAAAAGGCGTTTCGAATCAAGATTAAAGTCCGAGTGCCGATTTGTACCAAGTGCCGGCACTAATGAGATGGTCTTCGGTGCTATGCTGCTGACGGGCAACGGGCTCAAAGGTCCCAAACAGCAGCAACATCAGCAGGAACAGCAGAATCAGCAGGAGCAACATCCTATTCAGCGACAGGAGCAATCCAAACCGGCTGCCATTAGATCCGCCAGCAAGGAGCAGGATCCTCAGCCCATTGCAGCCGGGTATTATGCCCTCGGCATACGTATACCCAAATCGCCATCGTTTCACAGTGGCCTAGATCAGCTGGCCGACGACGAGTTGGAGGATCAGGATCGGGATCAGCAGGGTCAGGAGCATCAGCAGCAGCAACAGGCCGGCAGCAGATTCAAGTTCACCAGCGTGGAGGAGCTGAAGGCCAAGTTTGAGGGGCGGAAAACGCCCCTCTCGCCACCCGAGGCAGCAGCCGGGGCATCGGCAGCCGGATCAGGAGCACCCACCACATCCTCCTCACCCTCGTCCTCGTCCACCAGCTCCAATTCCTCGGCCTCGGCCCTCTCCTCGCTCTCGCAGGCGGCCTCATCGTCGCTAGCCTCGGCGGCGGCTAACTCCTCGGCCTCATCCTCGGCGGCCACCTACGGTGGTGGGGCCAATTCGGCGGCAGCGGCTCTAATAGCCTCCTCGCCATTTGGATCGCAGTCCTCCACTTCTTCGTTGTCGCTATCCTCGAATGCCGGCATGTCGAAGAACACGGCAGGAGCAGGATCCTCCGGATCGGGATCTGGAGTGGGTAGCTCAACGACAGCGGGCCCCACGAGTACTGGCAGCTCGCTAGTGTCCACTCTGGCACAACACTTCTCGGCGGCCACATCCGCCGCAGCCTCGGCGGCAGCCGCTGCCGCTTCCTCGGCGGCGTCCTCCTCATCAGCTTCCTCATCCACCGCCACCAACAACGCAGCCAGCTCCATCGCCGCCAGCAAGGTTTGCAGCTTGGTTATGCCTACACACACTCAGCGAACCCAACACCCAACGAATCCACAATACGCCACACGTAACCACTTCCGCACCACCGAAATCACAGATATGACACTTTCTTCAAAACTTTCACTGACTGTATCAGCTTTTGGGATAGGAATAATTAGGATATTATAAAATTTCATAAAAAAAGTTAATTATTCCTTGAAAAGTAATTTGTTTTTTGATAAAAATGTAAATATATATGTTTACCTAAAGAAGCCGAGTACTAAGTTTAACGATCAGATCAGGGTTTTTAAAATTTTCTCAGGCCCTCATTAAAGCTAATCCAGTCAGTCAGTTTCATTTCACTAAAACCACACACTATCTGCTTCCCAATTGAACGAACCGAAAGTTGATAAACCAAAAAACTACTCTGCTCTCATTTCATCGCTACCTCATCCTCCAGTCACCTGTGAGCGCGGCCGCGGCCATTAAGAACATACTGAATGCCACCAAGAATGTGGGCACCAGTGCTGCGGCGGCGGCAGCAGCGGCGGCCACCTCCTCCTCATCATCCTCATCCTCCGCCACGCCGGTGGTGCCGTCGTCCGCCGCCGCCGTCGTTGCCATTTCCACAATCAGCGATATGCCCGCAGAGGAGCTGCGTCCGACGGTGGCCCAGAATCTGGTGGGCGGCATTAGCATCTCATTGGGAATTGGCCAGCGCAATGGCGGGGCCGCACCCGCGCCATCGGCAGTTTTGGCGCCATCAAACGCCTCCACCCTGGTGGTGACCACGTCCAGCCTGAGCATCCGGCAGAACGGTGACATACTCCCGGGTCCTCCAGGAGGTCATCCGGCGGGTCTCCAGGCATCGCCCCAGACGCTGCAACAGCTGACGGGCAGTCCAGGAAGGGCTCGCGACCGGAATCTGTTCTACTCGCCACCCACCGCTTCGGTTGCCCTGGCGCTGCCTGCACTGCGAGGTTGCTATCCAAAGTGGCTCCGGGCCAAAGGCTATGGGAGGAGTTGCCCCATCCCATTGCCCTTGGGCCTTGAGGCCCTTCTTGAACTACTTGATCCTTTTTTCTGATCTTCATTACTTTCGTTTTGAGTTTCGCTTGCCTGCTTTTGTTGGTCGTTTAGTAGTAGAGTTGTACGTTTTATATATACTTTGTATTAAGATTCATTTCGTATGCTTTATTATAGAAGACATATCATGTGATGGCAAGTAATCTGATTATGTTTTTGTTTGTATTCCCTTAGAAACGGCCGCTAGTGAACGGGAGGAGCTGTTCATACAGAAGATCCGACAATGCTGCACACTCTTCGACTTCTCCGAGCCGCTGAGCGACCTCAAATGGAAGGAAGTGAAGCGTGCGGCCCTGCACGAAATGGTCGATTTCCTCACCAATCAAAATGGCGTCATCACCGAAACTATTTACCCGGAGGCGATCAACATGGTTAGCTCACACTTCTGCTACTTAATATGCTAACTTTTCAGCTAACAACACACTTATATATTTTGCCCTTACCAGTTTGCTGTCAACCTTTTCCGAACGCTGCCGCCGTCCTCTAATCCGAATGGCGCCGAATTCGATCCGGAGGAGGATGAGCCCACGCTGGAATCGTCGTGGCCGCATCTACAACTTGTCTACGAGCTGTTCTTGCGCTTCTTGGAGTCACCGGATTTCCAACCAAACATGGCTAAACGTTTTATCGACCATCAATTTGTATTACAACTATTGGATTTATTCGATTCGGAGGATCCACGTGAACGTGATTTCCTAAAGACTGTTTTACATCGCATCTATGGAAAATTTTTGGGCTTGAGAGCATTTATTAGGAAGCAGATCAACAATGTCTTTTACAGGTGGGCTTGAAAATTAAACTAATATTATTTTGTTGATAAATGAAACCCTTTGTTTTCACAGATTTATTTATGAAACAGAGCATCATAATGGCATAGCCGAATTGTTGGAAATCCTGGGCAGCATTATTAATGGCTTTGCTCTACCGCTGAAAGAGGAGCATAAACAATTTTTACTTAAGGTATTGCTGCCATTGCACAAAGCCAAGAGCCTCTCCGTCTACCATCCGCAGCTCACCTACTGTGTGGTGCAGTTCCTGGAGAAGGATCCTAGTTTATCCGAGGCGGTCATCAAGTGAGTAAAGGATATCAAGAAAACCCCATTAAGAAAGTAATTATAAAATGAAATATATTTCTTTAATATTTTCTGCAGAAGCCTGCTTAAATTTTGGCCGAAGACGCATAGTCCCAAGGAGGTGATGTTTTTAAACGAGCTAGAGGAGCTATTGGACGTGATCGAGCCGGCCGAGTTCCAGAAGGTTATGGTGCCGCTTTTCCGCCAGATAGCCAAATGCGTTTCCTCGCCACATTTCCAGGTGGCCGAGCGAGCGTTGTACTATTGGAACAACGAGTACATTATGTCGCTGATAGCGGACAATTCGGCGGTGATATTACCCATCATGTTTCCAGCGCTCAACCGTAACTCAAAGACGCACTGGAACAAGACCATTCATGGTCTAATCTACAATGCGCTCAAGCTGTTCATGGAGATGGATCAGCGGCTTTTCGATGAGTGCAGCAAGAATTACAAACAAGAGAAACAAATGTAAGTTGCGGGATGTAATATACTTAGTTTTTGCATAATTTGTACACAGTTACCTATCTTAACTGTTAACTAATGCATGTTTTTTTGACGTCCTTTGCAGGGAGCGTGAGAAGCTGTCGCAAAGGGAAGAGCTTTGGCAGCAGGTGGAGAGCCTGGCCAAAACCAACCCGGAATGGACGAAGGCGGGCCGCTTCAATGACTGCCTGCCGCTCAGCGACAACCGGGCCCTTTACGATCAATACAGCGAGAACAGCGATCTAGCCTACGATCAGAGCGAGCAGAAGGCGCGCCAGCCGCCGCCTCCGCTGCCGCCCCAGAAACAGGCGCTCCAGGAGCCCCGAGAGGTGAGACAGGCACTTGCCACACTAACCACACTAAACAACTACTAATCCGCCAAGTGTGATCTTGGTGTCTGCTGTAAGCTGTGAGCTGTGCCCAGCCAAGGCCCACTCTGGTTCAACTCTAATTCTAATCGAACGAATGTCTGTTAAAATAATCACACTCATGTCATTTAAAAAAAATACATATTTGTATATCTTTAACTTTGTCTATTTATTTATTTACAACTTATTTGGTTACCTCACTGTCTGCCAACCTAAACGAATCCATGAATCCACCCACGACACAAAATCTTTCAATACCTGTGTCTAACATTTGGCTTGCACTTTTGGTTGAGCGCAGTGGTTCACCTCATATGAAATCGGGCGGAATCCATCTATTAATAGTATTTGTTATTAAGTAGTTACTGATAATTTGCATCATCCACCAACTCATTTGTGATATTTCTTGATATGAGAATGTGTCCCTTTTGTAACATTCATTTTGTTTCCATGATAGATTTATTCTAACTCAAAAATTTTAACTTTTAACTTGTTCTATAAATATTTCCTATTTCCGAGCATGACTCTAGAAATCTCAACCGAGTTTTCTTGCAATTCCACATTTCAGTCTAGTTTAAATTTAATTCTGGGTTGCAAGACAATCTTTTTTCAATACTTACTGTAAATAAATAACAAAATTGACCAATGGAATCTATTTGGAATATTTTTTAACAACTTCTTAATGTACCTTTTTGAATCGCAATATCCTTGTTAAAAACTCAAGACCCAACACAAAAAAACACTTACACCCATTCGATCTCTAACGGACTTTGTAATATATATAATTCGACTTATGGGTTAGTTGATGTAAAATTTGTAGCAATGTTGTCCAACTGTTGGGCACCTTGGGATCCACCAAAACCCAGTCCGATTCCGAATTCCATCAAGCACCCGCACTCGATATCGTAACGAAAATCACCCTGCACCTCCGTGTAACCTCACCTGTCCAGTGTGTTGAGATCCAATAATCCGTTAGTGGGTCCATTTTCTATTGCCAAACCCCTTCCCGTTCCACACAGATTCGTGGCGAGCGGAACAAGGACAAGCCGCTGCTGCGCCGGAAATCGGACCTGCCATCGGACAGTGGAACCGTCAGGGCGCTCATCGAGCACAAGCGAACGGATGAGTACCTCACCACGCCGCCGCCGGATGGAAACAACTGCTAGGCAAGGAAGCTGGTCAAACGAAGCCACCAATATTACATCTTTGAAGCCCGAGGCTTTGGGGACATAGTCCAGAAAATACCCAAATACACACTCCAAACTTAGGCCAGAAAGCATATACATATACACACGCCCAGAGAAGAAGGATATATCCGATAGGAACAGCACAACTAGAACAAACAATTTTGAACGATGCTTTGGTGTCATCGCATTTGCATTTTGGGGCTTAGTGGGGGCGTGGCATCGGAATGCAACCCAATTTCTTTATATAAACATACAAATTACCTATCTATAACGAAAACGCATAGTACCAATAAAGATCTAAAATCCCAAACGAGATCGATTATATTGTTATTTTGTTTGCGAATGTATTTTGAGTTTACTCTTCTTCGATCGCATGCCAAGCTAAGCTTTCTTTTAATTTATTTTTGCATTTGCATGCTGCTGCTAGCGTTGCTTATAAACTAGAGCTCTATAGATTCGATCAGATATGCAATAATTTTTGGTATCTTAATTATGCTCTTACCATTTCAGTAAAAACGTGAATATATAATTGTACAGTTGAATTTGAATTTTCTAACTTAAGGCGTAGGCGTTTACCACCTTGATTGAGTATATCCCTCGACTTCTGCCACATACTTCGACATAGCTATATGACATCCAATTCTCACGACATGCATACACAAACATACTAAAATTTACAAATATTATATGCTATTTAGCCTAGCAGTTAGCAGCTTACCTATAAATATTTATAAAAAAAAAAAATTACCCAGAACAACAGATAAATTGTGGTATGTATGTACATGAGTGTATTTTTGTATGTATTACATATTATATATAGAAATATATGTGGGAAAACTGTATTCCTAGAGATCGAAAAACGGAATTAGGAATTTTTCGCTTCTTGAGGCCTGTCGAAGGATCCTGAAGATCTTGAAGAAATAAAGAATGTGCCAATATCTGGGCCCCTAACCACAGTTAATAACCAGCAGGAGAATATATATATATTTATAAGCATCCTTCTATCGTCACCAATCCCCATTCATTCACAACAACAGACTTGGACTTTGCTGGTCGTAGCATCTACTTCTATATGTTAATCTAAATATATACCTATTTAATATTGGATCCGTGTCAGCCACTCGTTTGGTTCTATAGTCATTGACGGGTCCGTTAGACAAAAATGCAGATATTCTCAACTATTCTGGATAAAGGCGACGAAGCAGATCAAAAGTTTTGCTACCACTACCCAGTGATGTACACGCCAAGAAAACGAAAGGCTTCAGTTTAGCTATAGACACAAATATATATTATATAAAGAGATGTATTTACATATTTTTGGCATTATAGATACATACACAATGTGGAAAATTGCAAACAATAATAATGCGGAAAGGTAAAAGGGAAAGTAATTCTTAGAAAGGCAGATTTTTTCATACAGGAAACGGTGAAAATCAAACTTTTCAATATAAGAATTATATTATATATAAAAAAAACTATAATATTTACTAAAAGTGAAAACAATAAATAAACCGAGTTGTACACCCTTTAATAAAATATATGTGCAAATTGTAAATGGAGCATGTAATTTTGTAAAATTATAAATAAAAGTTTATCGAGTCGAGAGCTATTGAACCTATGCCAGAGGGGCAAAACTTAGGATCGAGGAACATTTACAGAGCTGCCTAATTACAAATAAAATTTAATTAAAGAAACTAGATCAGAATCCGGATGGATAGATGTCATTTGGCCATTTATTGCAATAAATTTATTCACTGAAACTTTTCAGTGAGTCCTCGCGTCTTTATAGCCATCTCAGACAGATGCTGCTGCAGCAACCTCTTGTTGACCTTTTCCCTGTGGATTGAAGAGCACAATCTTTAAAGAGAATCCCCAAAGAGAAGATCGATTTCCCACTCACTTCACTATTAGAGCTGTGTAACGCGTTTTATCCGCGTCGGTTATAAGTTGAGTGGGGAAATTGGGGGTCGCCATCAAAGTCTTCATCCATACGGCCATCTCAGCGGGATATTTCTTGTTCATCGCCAGGAGAATGTCGGCAAACTTGTCCACTTGCGATCTCGGCGTGAGATAACCCACGCACATCATCGCCGTGTAGAGGGTCTGCTCGCCAGTTGCGAGAACCACTTCGGTGACGTGGGGATGGTTGCGAGATTGCATTACAAAGTGGGCAAGAAACTGGATGCTGTTTCGGATGGCTCCACTCTCCGGCAAGGTCATGCCACGTTGGGCATAAAAGACCAGTCTATCGTAGGCCAGTGTCTTGTCCTCCAAGACTTGTGGAATTTTCTTGACGATCTGCGACAGGCAGCCAAAGAAAGTCTCCATAGTGTCGGAGATGTTGGAGAAGTTCTGCTCGGGAGTGCTCTCAAAGAGCTTGAAGCTGTGCTGGATAAACTCCCTCAAAAGCTGCTGCATCAGCGGCTTGCAGCCCTCGTCCTTGAAGAACATGACAATGGCCTGAAACAAAGAGTAGTATTATCCTTCTTACTTGACAGGAAATCTCACCGTTTTAGATATCTCTAATGTGGGTGCGCAGCATCTAGTCTGGAAGCTAGCCACAATAAAGAGGCAAAGATCCTGGAGCATGGGCTGGAAGCTGCTCCTTAAATTCATTATTGCATGCTTCATGGCACTGCATGCGGCCTCTAGAACATCAATTTCCTCTACCCACATCTCGGCGATACGTTTAAAAATGGGCATGGTTCGCTGCATTACAAGGAGAACTGGTTGGACAATAGGTAGTGCCTTTGTTTCATCATCCACATCTGTGTTTAATGACGAGAAAAGTGTCGAGATCATATTCAGCCGGAAGATGGTTCGAATCCGAGCAGCGGGAGTTTTCTGTAGGTAGTAAATAAATGGGTATGAGGCATACTATACTTCTAATTCGAATTTAATGTTTACTTACCGACTCTGCTTGGCAAATGGCCTGTAACTCCTCGAAGCAGGGACTTACAATGATGTCCAAATACTTGGGTATCTCTTCGGGCTGCAACAAGCTCATTAGCTTGCCGATGCTGAACATGAGACGTACCGAATCTGAGTTCTTCATGCGTCCTGTGTTGAGGGAGGCATGACATGCATTCAAAAGCGGATCCGCGTACGGTTTGAGCTGTAGCTGACAGTCCCGGCACAACTCCTTGAGGCCAAGCGTGGCCTGGGCGGACATTGAGGAGTTCAGACCGCGCACCAACAGGTTGATGGCTGGTGGAATGTAAGCGGGATTCTCCATCAGCCAATTGCAATAGGAGCCAATTGTCTCTAGTGCAGTGCCCAGTAGCTTGACATTGAGCTTCTCGTATGGGATCTCGGCCAGAACTCTCATTAGCCTGGGTATCTGACGCGACTCTTCGCCGCCAAAGTGCTCGGCCACCGACTGGTAAGAATAGATGCATGCCTCCAGCTTTGTCCAGTGAGTCGGATGTCTTTGCAGATCGGCAATGGCCTCGTCCAGCATGGCGGCTAGGATCTCTAGGATATAATCGTTTAACACGTCGTAGCAGTACATCTAAATAAGAAATAAAATTAACTAAGAAAGAGCCATATAACAACCACAATAGCCACTCACAAAGGTGTCGGAAATATCCTGCCTGTAGCATCTGAAGCACTCCAAATCATCAGAATTCCACTTAGCGAGAGACTTCTCGTCCGGCTGTTCCGATTTCCTCACGAGAATTCTGGTGAGGTGGGCGTACAGTGGTTTAATGTATTCCCAACATTTGTGTTTCTGTTCATCGTTCTGCATGGCGAATACCTCATCCTGCAGCATGTACCAGAAGGCCAAAGCCATGGTACTACAGGACTCCTCTACTGGATAGATGCCCGGCTTGTCGGTGCAGTGCAGAATCTCTTGCACTATGCGATGGACGAGCACAGATAGTTCCGGATCTGATGATGTTATGCCGCTGAGCAGCAGCGTGGAGTGCCGCTCCACGGAGGACACGAACAGCATGTAGATGTGAACAATGATGTCCTCGTTGTCATTTTCCCTTTTCCATTCAGTTTTGGTTATTTCAGCCAAAGAGTCTAGAAACATTTTAATGAGTACGAATGCAGTCTTCGGGTAGTTATGGCAGTCTGGCTGAATGATGATGTTAACCAGCGTCTTCAGACAAGACTCTGCTAGCTCGTTCTCATCGGCGGTCATGCAACCATCACCTGCATGTATGCAGGGCCAGTAGCACTTGTGCACCACTTCCAGGAGCACGGCTGTGATGGTGACACATCCCTCAATAGAGTAGCCGATGTTTCTGGTGGAGATGCAAGCTCAATTAGCTAGAATTCAATGTTGTACATTTTGAAAACTTACTTAATCCAGGTGCCTACACACTTGACAGCCCGGTTCATATTGCTGTACGTCTCTGCATCCCAAACACGGTTCATCTGGAGCTTGAGATACCTCTCGGCGGTCTGAAGAACGAGTGGCACTCGCTTGCCGATCTCGGCGCGCAGCGTTACCCGCTTGACGGAGGTGTGGATGACCTGGGCCTCCTCGGGAATGGCTTGCAGCACCTCAAGCATGATCCACAACTGCACATCGGCGCTGACATTGGGCATCCGCTGGTTCTGGAACGTGTTGATCACCTCCTCGATGGCTCCCGGCCATTCGCCCAGCATGTGGACTATGTAGGCGCCCAGCGAAATGCACAGGCGGTTGAGCACGATCTTCGGCCCGCCGGCAAAGCGAACGATAGACTCAAGGATCTTCTGCTTGAGCTCCTCGCGGTTCTCTGGCGGCACTTCGTGCCAGTGCTTCATAAGCTTCGAGTGCAGTGTGATGGCACCGAAGAACTGCACCTCCTGGCTCTGCGTGGGTGGTCGATTGGGTGGTGCAGGTGGCAGGTGGGAGTGGGTGTGGGAGGTAGGTGCATTAGTATACATATCCGGGGCTATCGATGCATTGATGCGCAGGTCCTGCTGGGTACTGGGTACTCACCTTGCCGAGCTGCATTAGCTGCCATGAAAACTGCCAGGCCTGTGGACTGGCCTCTGCATCGGTGAGCCATTCGTGGGTGATCGCCTGGTTCTGCGAGTTTGATCGATAGAAGGAGACAACGGCCTCCTCCAGGCGCACAATGTCGATGGGTTCCATGGGCGATTGATATGGATACGGCTGTTGCTTTTGCGTTTGCTGCCGAGGGGCAGGCTCCTGTCCGTTGTTAATCCTCGGGTGGTGGTGGTTTTCTTCGCTGCGTTGGGCGAATGTGACCGTTCGTGCGTCGTTACGAATTGCCGCCTTCATACCGCTGAGGATGGTCATTTTGGTCACTCTGCATACCTGGGCGCCAAATTTGATTACTTACTACATTATCTGGTTTATCCGATATTGGTGAAGATCTAACATTCAAAGTTGACCTTCAAGTGCCAGCAAAAATACACTATTTTGGAGCATTGTTGAGAAATTAAATCTCTGCTGTCTTCGTCGATGTACAGCTCTATTACTTCGTTCGGACAGAGGTCCGTAACGAGATCGGGATCGCACGTATCCACAGGAGTGCGATCGACGACACTCCACTTATCTGTAACCAGAGTCGGGTTCTGTTTTTCCATTAGTGAAAACATGCTACACAATGGCTCGCCGGGTCGCACCAGAGGCAGTACGAATGAACATCTTAACAGATCGAAGAATTTTAAAAATGGCAAGCACGAATGGGGTGGGCACAAGGAGTCCACCGCGCTGACCACCCAATTTGCGGTCTCATCGTCCACGCACACGATTAACAGATTCGAACCGAACTTGGCCATCGAGACGCAATCGCTAAAACGCAACGCCGTAATACTACATGATTCATATAATTGAAATATGTGGGCCACCACCGCTTCCGCGTCCACATCTTCGCAGCAGTCCAGATTGCTGACCACCAACCCGTAGCGCCTGTTTTCGGGCATAGTACGTGCGTAGGGGGGTCGAGTATCGGGCTTGTTGCAGTTCTGCTGCTGGCAGCAGTCCTTTGTCCTGTCAATGCACTGCGGATTAGCCACGCTCGAGCTGCTCGAGGGCTGCTCCTCCTCCATGCTCGAGGACGACTCGCATTTGAGCTCATCAGCAGCGGCCAGGATCCCAGACCTGGGCCGATTGTTGTGCAATAGCACCGACCTTGTGCTAGGGAATTAGAGAATATATTAGGATCATTAATGCAATATTTCGTTTTTTTCACTTGCTTACCTATCGCCAGCTGCCAGTTTATCCAATTAGGGAGCCTATTCCTTCGCAAACCCGATACGGCGCTGCTACTACTGGAAGACGGATCCAAAATCCCAATGTACTCCGATTCCACAGGTTGCCCATCTCTCTTTAACTGCCGGTAAAACGACAGATTTGCCAGGTAAGTATTGCCTTGGAATACATGGATAAGCGCATCCGTTCCCGAATCTTGTGCTCTCATAACGTCCGAAATAACCTCCTTGTCTGAAATTCTCTCTTCAGATGTATAAATATTAATCTGAGATAGAGGAATCGCTAATACTGGCTCCAGCTTTTGCTTTAGCTCGAAAATTCTATCGTTATCATTTATTTCGAATAATATTGGATCCTGTAAAGGCGTAGACAGAAAAGAGAAAGTTATTGAACCGAGAATTTAAGTTTACAAATTAGCAATCCGCGCGAAGAGATTTCCGTGACACCCGAGTGGAGTATACGATACCGTTTCCAAAAGACTTACCATATCCTGGCTATTTTCAGAACTTGAAAATACTTTCACAAATAACATTTTTGACTGGGTAAAAATTACGTGAGACTACGCGAAATTTCAGTTATGTAAGTATGAAAAGTAGCACCAAAAATTTTTTAATATTTTACAAAACAGGCATTAGAAAAATGAATGTGGCCCGATTGGAAACTGGTAAGAAAATAAACCTTCTAGACATGGGCACCCGAAAGTTCGAATGGATAAAACGTCAAGGCACTCTAGATTTGGTCGATCAAATTGTTTTCCACACTACATTTTTCCGAAGAGATTTCCGTGTCACCCGCGTTCACGTAAAATTTGCGATACTATTTCCCAAAGACTTACCATATCCTGGCTATTTTCAGAACATGAAATTAATTGCACTAGTATCATTTTTGATTGTGTACAAATTACGTGAAACTATATGAAAATTTAGTTACTATGTAAGTTTGAAAAGTAGCACTAAATAATTTGTAATATTTTACAAAACAATTATTACTATGTAAGTTTGAAAAGTAGCACTAAATAATTTGTAATATTTTACAGAACAATTATTAGAAAAGTTGGTTCGAACTGAACGGCAAGTAGTATGAAAGTGAACCTTATACATAGATATGGGCACCCCCAAGTACAAATGGAAAGTCATGACACTCTGCAACACTGGATTTGCCGCATTTTGTTTACGAATCGAGGAGAAGCGAAACTGAGTGTTTGCCGGATGAAAACTACTTAATTAAGCTGCTGCGATGGTGGGCAAACGCATTCTGGTGATTGACAATGGATCCTACGAGTGCCGCGTGGGCTGGAGCGACTCCAAGGAGCCGGAGTTGCGTTTCCGCAACGTGCTGACCAAACCGCGCAAGGATCGCAAGAAGGAGGCAAGTCAGCAGGGCTCCGCCGAAGGTTCCTCCGCGGCGGCGGCTGTGGAGACACCGGCCGAAATCCAGGTGGGCAACGACATCACCAATATTGAGGCAGTGCGTGCTCATTTGAAGAGCCCCTTCGAGCGGAACGTGATAACCAACTGGAATCATCAGGAGCAGATATTTGACTACATATTCACCAAGATGGGATTCGAGGGGCAGGAGAGGATCGATCACCCGATCGTCCTCACCGAGGCGTTGGCCAATCCCAACTTTTGCCGCCAGCAAATGAGCGAGCTGCTCTTCGAGTGCTATGGGGTACCGGCGCTATCCTACGGCATTGATGCTCTATACAGCTGGGAGCACCATCAGCAAAAGCAAAAAAGGTTGGTAATATGACCTCCTGATAGCTAACATCCTTATAACAAGAGTCTCCCCTTTTAGATTGCCGATGCCTTGATCCTTTCTTTGGCTACAGCACCACCCATGTGATTCCCGTGCTCAATGGCAAACTTCAGCTGGAACATGTGCGCCGCCTTAATGTAGGCGGCTACCACATCATCACCTATCTCTTTCGGCTCATGCAAATGAAGTATCCCGTGCATCTGAATGCCATCACCATCAGTCGTATGGAGAAACTGGTCCACGAGCACTGCCACATCGCCGTGGATTACAAGGAGGAGTTGGTCAAGTGGGCCCAGATGGACTACTACGACGAGCACATCATGAAAATTCAACTGCCATACAATGCGGTGACTGCCACCAACGCCCTGCTCACCGCCGAGCAGAAGCAGGAGAAGCGACGCGAGCTGGCCCACCGCCTGTTGGAGATCAAGAATCGTCGCGAGCGGGAGAAGCTGCGTGAGGATGAGCAGCAGTTGTTTGTCTACAACAAGCTGAGGCAATTGTACGAGCAGAAGAAGCTGGACAAGTTTGAGCGGGCTCTGCAGCAGCAGCAGATAGGTACGTTGGAGGACTTAGATTCCCTTATCGCCACCATAAACTTGCGCATTAAGCGTGCCCATGACAGAGCACAGAGTGCTCCGCGCCCAGCAAGCAACAGGAGAAGCTGGACAAGATGCCGAAGCCGCCAGAGGGCGTGTCCCAGGCGGACTGGTTGGCCGAGCTGCATAGCAAAAGGGAGCAACTGCTCGGTCGCAAGCAAGCCCGCCAGCAGCAGCGTTCCGAGATGGCCAAGAGGCATACCCACGCCGCTCAGGAAAGAATGCGAATCATCTCGTCACTGGCCAAAAGCGAGAAGCGTCGCAAGGCCAATGGTGAGGAGGAGGACGACGGCTTTGGGATGAATGACAATGACTGGGACGTGTACAAGCGAATCAATCGCTACAACGATGACAGCGATTCGGACGCGGATAACGAGCAGTTGCTGGAGTTCGAGAAGATCCTGAATCACTATGACGCCAACTTTGACGATGGCAATTCCAACGCCCAGGCCCAAAGTGCCGCCGAAAACTACCAGCTGCACTTTGGAGTGGAGGACATCCGCGTGCCGGAGATCCTGTTCCAGCCAGTATGATTGGCTGCTCGGAAGCAGGTCTGGCAGAACTGATAGCGTTCGTGCTGAAGCTCTTTCCAGCAGGGGAGCAGCAGCGTCTGGTTGACCACGTGTATCTGACCGGTGGTTGTGCTCAATTCAGGGGCCTTAAGGAACGACTGACCAAGGAACTGCTGGAAATGCGTCCGTTCCAATCCACGTTCGCCATCTACGAATCTGATGAGCCCACTCTGAGCGCCTGGCTGGGAGCATGTATGCTTGCAAGGGAACCCAATTTTGGCAAGACGTTGTTCACGCGCCAGGACCATCAAGAGCATGGCAGCGAGTTCTTCCGGGAGCACAGGGCCAGCAATCTCTTTTATCCTACACCAAAAGATTAACATTTATTTGAAACCACCGAAAAATAAATGTTCACGTCTAAAACAAAAGTTCCGTGACATCGTTGCCGAAGAGCAGGTTCCAGGACTTGGGCACCGTGAGTTTAAAGCTGCCATCGCCGCCGTTGCGCAGCTGAAGGAAGTCCTCGCAGAGTTCGTTTAGTTCCCGAACGATCAGAGAAGCATCTGTGGAGTTGTCGCCTTCCAGGAGGTAGCGGAATAAGAGCATGACGGGAACCTTTTGCTCATCGAAGGCCTTGAATAGCTGCAGGGCATTGCCACCGCCGTAGATAGCCTCGCCCTTGTGCTCCTTCCACTTGATCAGCTCGCTGTTTCCAAGTTGGGCGGCATGGGCTTCCTTGAAGTTGTCGCTGGCACGGTAAGCCCATGGCGACTCCTCGATCACACGCTTTTCGAAACCAAAGCTGCCGCTTAAGATGACCACACGACGAGCGCCCTTGAGCAGCTCTACCAGTTCCTTCTGAAAGTGGCCCGTGTGGCGGGCAACCCATGGCGCCCGGAACTGGACCACCAGCAGTTTGTCCTCGGAACCCTCGTAGAGTTCGCAGGAAGAGACCTTTTCCTTGGGCTCGTGCTGGTAGGCGGAGGGTCCGTAGACCGGGATCAGGGCAGGATGTGTGAGGGATCCGATGCGCCGGAGTTCCTTGGACGCAATCAACAGGTCACAGGCCAGCTGCGCCGCATTGCCCACGCAGATGCTCGGTATGATCACCGTGTGCTCGGCCAAGTCCAGTTTAGGACGCTTGTCCTTCAGAAACAACATGATTCGGGCAAATCTCTTGGAATCCGGAATGTGTTGGGAAGTTAAATCAAGTCAAAAATATGAAAGTAATGTTTTGGCGTTGCTATACTTACCGATTTTTGAAAGGTGGCAACGCTGGCCAGGGGCTTATCTGAACGGGGTAAATTTTATTCTTATTTTAAAAGGTTGCCGACTTTTTCAAGTATATGTATAATCAATAGAATATTTCAGCCCGACTGCTTTCTGTGAGTGCTTCAGAGTAGCTAAATATTTCTTAATATTATTAATCATTTATTTAAAATTTGGTTTTCGTCACTTATTTGGAGGTTGCAGAATTAAATTATGACTTCGGCACTATCTTGTAAGCAATTATCGGCTTCCATCACTCTTTTTTATCGATAGCCGGGCGCAGACGTTTTCCAACACTTCATATTTGCGTTTTATTTTTGCTTGCCAAATGTTTTGTTTCCCGGCACAAAAATGTCCAATTCCGTAAATATATCGGTGGAAACCACATGCGAGAACCAGATCCGTGAGATTGGCTACGATGGCACCGAGTTGTATCAACCGTAAGTGTTCCCGGGAGGCCGTATCCGCTCTTCTCAACAAGTTGTTGGTTTCTGCATTTCCAGACCGCCCACCTTGTCCGAAAGTCTGGCGAAATGCGCGGCTCGAATTGACTTCAGCAAGACGTCGCTGGACGACCTGAAGAAGGAGGAGAAGACGGCGGCGGCGGCCACCGAGGATGACAAGGACGCCACCCAGTTCCAGGAGAGCCTGTGGCCATGGGACGCGGTGCGCAACAAGCTGAAGGATGCCCTCACCGAGATCTGTGTGCTGTCCGATGTGATTTCTGTGGCCAAGGATAAGCGCTACCTGGTGCTGGATCCCTTGCTGGAGGAAGCAGACGACACCAAGCCCATTGTGCAAGTCTACAGCCGCAAGAAGGCCATATCGCAGGCGGCACAGGTGCTTCTCGGCGGAGCTGAACGCTTGAGGAATGCCCACAGTGAGCAGCGTAGCCGAAATGTCTCGGATTTCCACATAGAACTACTGCGTCTGCGACAGAACTGGCGTTTGAAAAAGGTGTCCAACGCTATCATAGGGGATCTCAGCTATCGCACCGCGGGCTCCAAGTTTGGGATGAGCGGCACCTTTGAGGTGACCAAAGCGGAGGAGGCCGGCGATGAAGACACCCCCAGCTCCTCCAACAACAGCAGCAGCAGCACATCCGGAAACAATGGCATGCAACAGAAAGCTAGCTCCGCTCTGAGGGTGATTGTCCCAGCGGAGCTACAGGGTGTGGCCTACATCAAGGTGATCACGCAGAAGGATCAGGAGGACCTTTGTACCGCCCAGGTTAATCTAATGGGCCACGGACCCAACATAACCGCACAGGTGGGCGTGTGGCAAAAGACCTTGGAGTTTGCCCAAAATGTGCTTTTCTGCAAGGAGCTGTTTGCTCAGTTGGCTCGCGAAGCCATCCAGCTCCAGGCACCCATTCCACATGTGGTCATTGGCAACCAGATTCGAGCCACCCTGCTGCCCAATATCCAGCTGATCATCTCATTGTGCCACTCGACCACCTTCGATTCCAGCCAGCCGGCACCAATCAACGATCATGACCATGTGCTGGAACACTCGCTGCATCAGCTGCTGCGCGAGGTGCACTACAAGAACTCCCATCACCCGTTCCCTCATCCGGCCAGTGCTCCATTGGGACCAACGAAAAAACGCATGCTGGCCGGGCCCATGGCTGCGGATCGGGAGACGCTCTTGGATATGACCAAGTCCCAGACTATTCTCGAGCAGATCATCGCCCAGGCGCAGCACATATTTATGCGCAAGCGGACGCAGTATGTCCTCGACACGCTGGCTAGGGACGTAAAGGACCCACAGATTGTGTCGCATTGGAACGCTATGAACAGCCCGACCATGTCATGTGTGAAGATCAACATTGTGACGCACGGGTACGACGCCATTGGACGCACCTCGCTGGTGATCCATGTCAAGGAGCGCTCTCTAAAGTGCATTTGTCGAGATGGGCGAGTGATGCGACTCTCCTATGAGCCGCAGGAGTTGCGCGACCTCATTCTCTGCCAGATCAACTCACACCAGATCTCCTGCCTGATCAGCTTGGCCCGATGCATGGCCTGGACGGTGCTCTCGAATAGCAATCACTTGGGCATCGGAAAGGTGGAGCCGCTGGGCAATGCCAGCTCTTGTCTGCTGGCCTCACCCAATAGCGATCGCATGATTGCCGTTCAGATCCGCTGCGATCCACAGATAGATGTTAAGGTCTATATAGCCAGAAGTCCACGCCAGGACTTCTTCCCCAGTCCACTGGTACCGGAGAAATTGTGGGAAAATCTGGGCGGCAATTTTAAAGAGGTTGGTCTGTTTTTAAAATTAACCAATTAAGTTCCTAACATATTTGGTTTCATGTTTCTTTCCAGGTGCGGTTCGACAAAATCGAGGGCAAGAGCTTCCTCAATAAAATGGAATTTCTGATGGCTTCATTGACCAGCAACTCAGCTTAGAAAGCTCTACACGCATCCACTAGTGAATAAATCGATTTATAACTCTGTCTTAAGGATTATTTAAAGTAAAAATAGTTGTAATTAGTTTTACACACAGATTGTTTGTCCATCGGTCTACAGCTATTGTATTGTGAAGGATTAGTATCTTGAGGTGCTTTCAGTTCAGTGCATCAGGCTGTAGCTGACGTTGTTTTTCCACAGGCGTGGCTGATAGTTGAGAGATTCCGGCGATTTATTGCGCTGCTGCATGATGGTAAAGGTGTCCTCCAAACTGACAACATTGGCGCGATTGGTGCTCTGTGAGGAGACGAGATCAGTGATCTGTGGATAGCTGTCTGCCATTCCGGACTCACCCAACGTTCCAGATCGCAGAAGCTGATGTTGTAGTTCTGTCCGCGTGGTTGAAGGGTCAGCACCTCCATCTGCTCCCCCAGTGGCTGGGCGAGGCGCAGATAGAGTCCTCGATTGGTGGAGAAGAGGACGGGCACCCGCTTGGCTGGCGCCGATCCAGCGCCCGTTCCGGCGCCGGGAATCTGCCTGTAGGTCGGCAAATGATTCAGCGTGGATACCGACTCCTCCGGCAATTGGGCATCGCTGCCGGCACCGACCCCGACTCCCACAGTCCGCATCAGACCCATGCAAGTGTAAAAGCAGGACGCCACCTTGCGCATTTATGGAATTAGTGGCCCTACTCGATTTCCTGATCCCTCAAGCGGACAACGTATGAAGTTCGGCGTTCAATATGCATTGCTAGCACCACACACTCCTTAACCTATCGATTTTGTGCAGCGACGAGCGCAACGTCAACACGGTCCGAGTGTCCAGCGAGTGTGTATCTTAGCCCCCTCAATTTGTATGGGCCACAATCGAGCGGCCGGTTGCCCCGACGACCAGTTCCACTCCCGCTCCCTGTCCCAATGGCCGGCCAGTGGTGTCCATTCATTAGCCATGTGCGTGTGCCGGACCAATTGTCTCGGCCAGAACGAGATAGCCGGCCACACGCGTTTTCTGCAAAATTGTTCAATTAATGCCAGCGGGAACAGAAATCTGTTTGATGCATGTATGCAATCAGGAGATCGAGTCAAACTGATGGTGCTGCGATTGCAATTAACAAGACTGCTATTTCACAGGTTTTATGGATACCCCTTAAAAATATATCGGATCCTTAACCATTCTTCAATTAAATATAATTATCCTTATTTAGGTATTTGGTCCTTTTAAGCAACTCAAAGACTGCACTTCTTTCTTTTACTTTTTACAAATATTGTTTTAAAACTTTATTTCATTTTATATTATATTGTTGTTTTTGTTTGTGTTGTGTACTTGTAAATTGTATAATTAACACTAAAATACTTATTTAAACATATTTTCATATTCAATCGGTTTTTTTGTTTTTGTATTCCCTTCATTATTTTTTTCGATTTTTATGTGTTACTTTTTTGCAATTTTTTTGTTTTTGTTATTTGTGGTTTGGGCGACTTATACTTTTGTTTACTTAATTCCGCTCCATTATACATTAGATTTTGTTTTGTGGTTTATATAGATCCAGCAATTGAAACGCTCAAACCTTAAGCGTTAGTTAATAAATTTAACTTAGTCACTATTTAAGTTGTTTCGCTTGTCGCATCATTGATGCGGCGTTCCATACTATCCATACTATAATTTAGATATAATTCATGCAGCACATACTATAAATTTCTCCACTCCGCGCTCGTACATATTTTAAATTCCGACACATTAAACATATACAATATTTAAAATAGATTTCTTCCATTTTTTCTTCTTGTTTAATTATTTTATCAATTGATTTGTGTGGTGTGTGGGGGTGTTAATGTGTGTGTGTGTTTTTTTGATATAAAGAAATTTTTATTCGCTTCTTTATAGGTATTTCTTTTGATTTGTTTATGTTGCTGGGCTTACAAATTAGCTTCGAATCTAATGCTACTATACGGGTTGGTTGGTTTCTCCTATGAATGCAAAATGTGCTGTATCGCTAGAAGGATGCAAGCACAGACATATACAATGTGTATATAGCTTTATTTATATATTTTATGCACTTTAAGACTTTTGTTTGTACAGCATTCGTGTTAAGTGTGTGATATTTTGAAGTAAACTTTGCATTAGGTTATGTTTCTACAATTGTTGCTGCTTCTGCTGCTGCCTTTACGAAATATATAATATATACTTTATATGCATATTAAACAGCTAAATCTTATAGTAATGCGCGTAGCTATTTGCAATAAATTAGTGCATACAATAGGCTACATCTGTATCTGTTTCTGTCTATATATAATGTTTACATATAGCTTTCTATATAATTTTCTTTCGCTGCCCTAATGCACACACAATGCCGTGAGGAAATCGAAACGAGTGCAAACTGTTGCCGCTCTCCAAAGTGAGGGAAATCGTACAGATCGTGTCATATCTCATACAAATGGTATTGCTCGCCGTTGGAAGGAACTTAAATAACGATTTTCATTTTAGTTTGTTTGGTTAAAATATAAATACATACATACACATACGACAAATGAGAAAAAAGACTAAACAATACAACAAACAAACAAACAAGCACAGACGGGCAGACAGAATAGAAGCGTTAAGAGACGACCACAAAGTGCCAAGTTTACAATTTGTACAATGAGAATTAAAAAGAATAAAATTTGGGCCAAGCGAAACAAGCGATCTAGACATTGCCCATTCTGCAAAATGGAGCAGTTCAAGAAGAGTCCATATGTGTATGAGTGCGGGCTACAGACTATCCATATACAAGTCCAATAATGCTAACTATATACTCAACTAGGTATTATGCATATCATTATAAATATTCCATTCATATGCTTTCTGCTTGCTTAACAAACAATTTATCTGCGATTATGATTTCGATTTTCTACATAAGCAAGTGAATGGGTATAAATAGGGGATAGGATAGGCGAATGGATCTGGAGAGTTTGGTGAGGTAAGGTGAGTGTTTGCAACAACTAAACTAAACACAAGGCTCACTAAACTTGTTGCATACATGTTTAACATTACTTTAGTATACAGTCGAGTATCTGTAAATCAAACCAAAAAGAGAACTTACAAGTGCTTTACAGATTTTGCTTGTATTTCTAGTTCTAGTACGACTGACAGAAGTTCGACTATGCTTGTTTGTTATTACAATTACTATTTTTGCTTGCTTGGATTGGTTTTCTTTACTTTTCGGTAGTATCTCAAGTTCTGCTGGAAAAACTTTCATTCTGTCCTCCACTGCCCTGCCCGCTACCTTTTAGTGCCTTTTTGTGAGTTGAATTTTCGACGGAAAACTAAAATTAAGCATAGAATACAACAACGAAACGAACTTATCTAGAATCAACAGCGAGAAATCCAAGACGAAGGACAGTGGCAGTGGCAACAGAACGCTTCTACGTCCGCATGATCCTTTACAGTTTTACATTTGCTGCTTTAGTCTATTATATTTAAGGGTTCTTCTTTTTTTGTTTCGCTTTTCTCTATTTCTCATACATGCGTTAAATGTTAATTACTTTATGCTTATGTATCAAGGATTTCTACTACCGCGTTCTTATTTGCTGTGTGGTGTGGTGTTGTGTGTGGGTCTCGCCTTCAGAAATTGTTGTTGCCATTGCTGAGCAGATTGGAGGCGGCGGCCCCAAGAGCAGCAGCCGCAATGGAAGCGGCCGAGGAGCTGCCCGCCGATCCATTGGACGCCGCAGCCGCCACCACAGCTGCCACAGCGGCTGCCACCGTGTTGAGATGCTGCTGATGCTGCTGCTGCTGTTGTTGGTGATGTTGTTATGGCATGAAGTAGTCCGGATGATCTGTGTCTTTCTCGAACCGCTTGGCCTCCTCGTGCATGCTCTCCTTGATCTTCAGAATGGCCGCCGATTCCGTTTGATCGTTTTCGCCGGGTCCGCCGAATCCGCCCAGATTGTAGTCGCCCATGCCGCTGCCGGAGTCCTCGCGCGGCGTACCAGGTCCCCCGTTGGCCGGCGAGTTCTTCATGCCGTCCAGGCCGGAGCCGTCGGGTCCGCCACCGCCATTAAGTACGGGGCCCATTGAATTCGGCCCGCCGCCCATCGGACCCATTCCGCCGGGCCCTCCTCCTCCACCGCCGCCATCCGGCCCGCCGCCCATCGGGAATTCGGGCTTCATCAGGGCGTACATGCTGTCGCCGGGTCCTCCGACTGGTCCGCCTTGCGTGTTATCCTGCGGCGACGGCATGATAGGCGTTCCCGGACCCGGCGGCCCATTCGAGCCCGGCCCGGGTCCATAGTTTCCTGGCGATGATGACGAGTACGCGTTCAGTGGCGCCGAAGCATTCGGCTGCCATTGCGGCGGTCTGCCGCCCGCACCGCCCATGCCCATAGGCGGCATTCCGCCGGGTCCGGGTGCCGGGCCACGCATTCCGCCCGGTCCGCCGTAACCCATCGGACCCATGCCGCCGGGACCGCGTGGCGGATTCATGCGCGGATTCATCGGCCCCATCCCGCCACCTGGCCGTGTGGGATCCATGCTATTGGGCATCATGGGCTGACCGGGCGGTCCATTGAACTCATTGCCCATGCCCTGCATACGCACGCCGGGCCGCGGTCCTCCCGGATATCGGGGTCCGCCCATGAACGGCGGCTGGCCGGGCATCATCTGCGACGGCGGCGGCTGTGGACTGGAGGCGTGCGTCGGTGGCGACGGTCGCATCGTCGAGTTTGGGAAGAAATTCGGTCCCATCGGTCCGCCGGGTCCCATTGGGCCGCCATCGCCGCCGGGCGGCATCTGTCCCAGTGGGCTGGGCGCTGGTCCGCCGGCATTGTGCGGGCCACCTGGTCCAATTCCGTTCACCCCATAGCCGGAGCTCACGAAGCCATAGTCGTGGAAGGCCTTCGCCTCCGAGCTGTGATCGCACTGATCCCGGCGCTCGGGCGCTGCACAGTAGAGGTCCCAGAAGACGCACCACCAGGTGTGCAGGAATCCCGGCGGCTCGCCCAGCGTTATGTTCTTCTCCCATCGGATCTCCGAGAGGAATGTCTGTGCCGCCTTCTGGGCGCCAACGTGCAGCAGATATTCGTACACGTACAGGGCCAACTTTTCGCGGGCCTGGGCGTCCGATGGAACCGCCGATGTCTTTGATTTGCCGTACATTTTGTGTGATGTTGCTGTTGTTGTTGTTGCTGGATGTTGAATGTTGCTTGTTGGCTGCGTTCCTAGTTGTTGTTATTGTTGCGCTGGTGCTGTTGGTTGTTGGTTAGGTGGTTTTTTGTTTTCGGAGCTTGGGTTTTCTCGCCTCTCTTTTTCGTCGCTAGTTCGCTTTTGTCTACCAACGACTTCCACCGTATTTAAATTTTTTATACTTTTTTTTATGTACTTTTCGAGGCTCTTGCTGTTTCTTCCTCCTCTTCGGTTGTTTCAGCTTCTTCGTCGTCGTTCTTCTTCTTCTTCTTCCTCAGCGGCTGCTGTTACTGCTGTGCTGTTGTTGTTTTTTAATTGGCCGCGCTTTGGGCTCACGCAGCCGTTCTCCGCCGCTCTATTACTTCCACCATTTTTAATAAAAATATATATTTTGACTTTGCCTTTTGGCTGGTTAAATTGGATGTGGATTGGAACGCACTGTGTGCCTTTACTTTTGGTTTTTTTTTACTTAATAAACTTTTTAGCGCGCTCTCCGCCGTTTGTGTGTGTGTCGCCACTTCTTCGTTTTACCGTTTATTTTTTTTTCAGGTATTTTTTTGCCTGATTGTTGCTGCTTCTTCTTGCACAACCACTAAAAACAGAAAAAAAGAGCAGAGAGAAAAAGAGAGCATGAGTGAGAGAGCCTGAGTTGGTGTGTATGTGTGTTGCAAATTTCCGTGTGCCTGTGTGAA